TAACCCGCGCTGGTGCGCGGGTCAAGATCTAGTTTATATTAATTTTATTAGAATTTAAATGTGATTATAATCTCATCAAAAATATGTTAAATGCTAACAAATATAAAGATAATTCAATTGTGAATATAAAATAAAGATAATAATGATAGGTTCTTACTTATATAAAAATATGTATACATATAAATGATTAATTTATAATTTTAATAGAATTATATCTTTACATAGTTTTTTTTTCTTTTTAAGTTCTTATCTTATTATCGATTTGTATAAAATTTTGAACCGGTCCAACTTAGGACCGGAAGAGTTTATTAATTAATATAGATTATTAATTTATAGATGTTGAACAAAAAAAAGATGTTCTACTGTATCAGCTTTCCGAGGATCTATATATAGTATGAATTAAAATTCATTAACAAAGAGACTTATTTTCCAAATATTTGAATTCCATTGGAAATGGTCCTGTTTGTAAATTGATACATACAGTACTAACTCTAGCTAAGTTTCACCCCGGCAAAAAGAATAAAGACAAGGTAAAGCTTAGACCAAAAACAAAGGTGTGAGGTATTAAAACAAGGATAACACAGAAAAGTGGACGCACAAACTAATTCTAACCCTCAAACAAAACGGTCCAGCGGATGCGGAATGCTACGACCATGCCTTGGCCTTACTTGACCCTTACATTCAAAGTTCCTCATCATATAATACTAGTAAAAGCAGGTATATTCTTTTCATTGGTGTCGGTTCTGTCAGATGGATGTCCAAACCATTGATTTCTTTTTTTTTATTTTGTCAAGCTCTTAAAGTAAAAGAAAGAAAGCAAACGGTTTACAAAGATGAACTACATAATTATTGTCTTGGGCGAGAGATTAAAACAAGGAAAACAGATATGAAAACACACACAAAATAAATTCCAACTCTCAAAACTAAACGTTCTTGCGAATGCGACGAACACGCCTTGGCCTTAGTGCCCACTGACAGTTTTTCCTATCACATTCAAAGATCCTCATCATAATACTAATAAAAGCAGGCCAATTCTTGGCACGGGTGTTGGTTCGGTCAAAGACTGGTTCTACTTTATTGAAGTATTCTTGAGCCACCTTTATGCCTTTAGTCTGACAAATGAGATCAACGAACAAAGCAAGCTCCGTAGGAGAAAACTCCATCTTCTTTTTATCCATCCACTCAAAGATCTCGAAGGCGTATTCAAACTTGCCGTCTTTGTTAAGCTGTTTTGCACAGTCGACAAGATCTTCCTTGGTCAGATAAACACCCTTCTTCTCTTCCTCCTCCCTTGTGATGAAATCTAAGGTCTTACCGATAAAAGGCTCCAGCTTCCCGAAAATACAGCTCTTCTTAGCAACAGCAGTAGAAGGTATCTCAAACGCAGGAGTAGTGATCAGCCTGTTGGCGTTCAAAACAGCATAAGAAGAATAAGAAGAAAACGGAGCCACCACCATTCTCGTCTCTCTCTTCAAGAGGTGGTGGAGAGAACCTGTTGCAATACGACGGCGCAGATTATACATTTGCCCTAAACCTAATTTTCGATAACGCTATTCTCTCTATTATATCCTCTCTTCGTTCTCAAATGTATCATTGCATTACTTTTACGTATTATTATATGTTATTTTAGAAATAATAAATATATATCAAATAATTAAAAATTCAATAACTATTATGTGTATAATTCAATTAGTGCAAACACATCAATAAATTTTATTAATTCAAACAAACACTTTTTCTATATTATATGGTCTAAAATTAAGTTTAAATGATATTAACATAGATATATAGTATATTTTTATTATTATTATCTGTTAAATAATATTTATACTCATGTTGTTTTTTTTATTATTTGTATTTTTTATATCAAAATTTTTGAATCACTCATAACAATTTTTTTACGATGATAACACGTTGCTAAAAAAACGTTGGATCAACACATTTTTCTAAAGATTATACGAATGGTTGTGGTGATGACACATGCTACAAGAAAATGTTGTAATGTTTCTCGTTTAATATATAAGAGATAAACTAATATATTATTTTAATAGTTAAAGTTATTTATTTTATATGTGTCATCATATAATTAATTAAATATTTGTAAATTCATATACATCTAGAACTGAACCCAAATCAAACTAGATAATATGATTACTTTTGGTTATTTAGTTATTTTTAGTTTGGATTCAAAATACCTCAATCGATTTGGTTAATATGATTATTTTGGTATTAATATTCAAACATGTTCGGATACATTAGTACATTAGTTTTTTAGATATTTTAAAATTTTCATACATCAAAAACTGAATCCATATGAATTCCATATTCATGCCAAATAATAAATAAATTAAATAATTCTAAAAATGAAGTAATTATTTAGATAATACAATAAATGAAATGATATTTAGAAAAAAAAATATAATAATTAAAATGATTAGAATTAATTAAAAATAGAATGAAAATTTGTAAAAAAAAATCACTTATAAATAGGTACTTTGTAATTCTATTTTTAATAGAATAGAAAGCTCACTAGTAAAGAAGCCAAACACGTATAAGGGAAGCATTGCGTCTTTGGTTATGCTTTGACAGAATCACATCTCCAATTTAGCAGTCCAACAGTTTGAAAGTAAGCCATGTCAAAACTACGACCAAGAAAATCAGTTTCACAAAACTTGCCAAACCGAAACAAACAATAACTAACTAGATAATTAGAAGAATTATATAGATTAGTTGGTTTGGTTGAAGTCCCTTGGTCCAGTTATTTGATTAAGGATTTATAATGATTTGAACAAGGGTTTATCAATATTTTTCTATCAAGAGTTCTGTGTTTCAATTCTCAAAAAATTAATGTACAATTATGTGAATTAATGAAAAAAAAATTACAAAAGATTACAGCATGACATGACGTAAAGAATTAGGTCAGATCACATAAGGTAGATGCAATCATATGTAATTCCACATAAGTAGAATTGTTGGTTGTTGATTCATCTGTAATATTTTTTGTAATTTATAATAGCATAATTATCCAATATTAAAAAAAACACTAGTTGGTTTATTCACGAGCATATAAAATGATCATCAATAATATTATTATCTTCAGCTTATAAACGTAAACAAGAGAAACAAAAACTACAGTTTTTCTTTGTAACTGAACAAAAACTACCGAATTATAAAAACAAAATAAAATATATGAGGAGAGATATTTTACCAAATGAAAACTTGGTGTGAGTTATCTAGCCAAGCATCATTGGTGCGACCATGATATCTATCTAGCCAATGTAATCAAGCTGAGTATTATTTTATATAACCGCAAGCTATTCATACTATTACTAACTACCAAAAAAATAAAATAAAAATATAGCTATTCATACTTCTAATTTTTTTAAGATCACACAATACATTAGGCTATATAGATATCAGCTAAATCGATACATCATAAACATATTTATTTTCATATATAGACAGTGCAAAAGTAAGTTTACGATGATTCTCCATTGTTAATTAACAGGCCTTTCATGTTTTATCTTGAACCCTCTTTTTAAGTTAATTTGTAAAACTAAAATTAAGAAAAAAAAACTATGAGATTTATTGGAAATAGCCATTTTTACTAACAATCTAGTGAATAGTGATCATTATAATAGCAATTGACTGCAGACTAGTTCAAGAGATTTTGCTTAAGAAACATGTGGAATCTGATTCATCAACTTATTTGGAGCTGTAGCCTTACAAGTTCTCATACTTACATATATAGAATGTTAATAAGAAACATAAACACACGGGCCATGGCTTGGGTCGTGACGAACTACATTTCCCGTACCACTGAAATCGCATTGCTCCTTGGTGTGACCAAGTTCCTGGTAATACGAGTTCATCACAAACGACGCATGATCTTTGAGAGTGTTTGGTTCATAGCAGACACCACCGGGTTGGATCGGTGTACAATCACGGAAACCTCCTGAGTCGCTGCAACACCAATCTATAGTCGCTTGTAGCTGCTCATCTGTCGCGTCATCATCTGCCACGCACCATAGGCCGCTTGAGGTCACGGAGATGGTTGAGACGAGGAGGAAAAAGAAGAGCATCGTCAATGATAAAGACATTGTTGTTGTGATCACCATGTTTGCTTAATTGCTTCTAGACGATATACGTTACGTACGTTAAATCCTGATTAAAAAGTTACATAATAGAATCTGATGAAAACGATAAATAATGCATTAAAATGTTGAAAAAACGAAAAGAAAAATAATGAATATGTGGAGTCAAAGTTTGATCTATTTCATTAATTTAATAAATCTTTTGTATCTGAGACAGTTTACTCTCAAGACTGTTTTTGTATATTAATATCCATGATATATTTTCGAAACTTACTTTGAAAAGATTTAAGTATTGCTGAAACTATTGTAAGATTTTTATGTTTAAGTGTAGATTGGTCTATTTTTATTGGTGATATAAGATGCTTATTTATATGAGAGATTTACAAAGGTTAGTCATAAAGTAATTTTGGCATTTGTCATTAAATTTGCTTTTAGTTATTCATTACTTAGTTTTGCCGTTTGTCATAAAACTGATTTATCTTAATAACTAGGATAAATTATTCACTAAATTATCTTTAACGTAAACTGTTAGTCACCAAATATATCTATATTATTAAAAGAGAAGTATTCATATAAAATACCCCCGAGTTTTTCTAATTATTTACAATGTTATGCTATTGAACTTATTAATTACTCTACCTTATAGGATTCTTTGTCTTTTCACTTTAATTAATGCATTTCCAAAATCAAATTTTAACTAAAAAAGTATGACAACAATAATTAATGAAAATAATTATTTTCATATATACCTTTCGTAATTAAATAAATAAATTATATATAAATTGTTTTACTAATTCCATATACATAATAATTAATTCCAATATTAATCAACCTACGTTTTAGGATTTTTTCTTATTAATTATCAACATATCTTTAAATAGTTAATGAACAATATTTTTTCAAAGATATATAATTATATTTTTATTATTTATAAGTAATAACTACAATAAAAGTTACAAAAAGAAACATTTATATAATATATAATAAAAAGATTAATATAAACATATCATGTTATGTATATTTTTATATAAATAATAGTTAAAGGTAAATTCAGAATAATAAAAGTTAAAAAGTATAAATATATAGGACCATATATTTTAAATAGTAAATAAAACAATTTAGTTATACATTATCATAAAACTTTGATCCATAAAAATAAAATAAAAACATTTGTACATATATACGGGTCATATTTTTAAAATAAGTATGACACAATGATAGTTTATAAGATAAAATAAAATTACTCAATATAAATTATAAAATTGTGTATTTAAAAAGTCATTTTAAACAATTATTTAAATGGGTAAATTTAGAAATATATACTATCACTTATAAAATATATAAAAACAAACACTTGCGCGGATCAAACAGCAAAATGTTCGGTATTCTTTTATCAAAATTAAACCCATAAGTAATTTGTAACCATTTAATTGATACTTCATTTTTTATTTTACATCATTTAGTATAAATCTAAAAATTAAAAGAAAACAAAACACCCATCCGATCGGGCGGGTCATGGTCTAGTTTAGTTTAATCATCAACTTAATTAACTAAGATCAAGACAATTCCAACATTTTATCTAGTCCATGGACTTGTAAATTTTGGTGTGTTCATATAAAGTATAACATTTAATTTGGATCATAATAAATTTTTGCAGGGTCCATATTTCTTCATACTTATTCGGCTCATTAAATTTCTAAACATTATTTCTAACAATATAATTGTTCAAAGATCAGAGACACACTACATATATATACAAAACCGAAAGAGTGACTAAAAATAAGACAGAAGGGTTTGTAACATGGAATCAAATTTCCCCCTGCACATATATAGTGGCATACATTAAATACAATATACCAAAGGTGAGGAATAAAACCTAATAGAGTTAATGAATATCAATCCTATGTTTTTAATATTTGTAGAGAATGTGTTAATTAATGTATGTGGCAAAAGTAATGAAGGCGATAAGCATGCAATTGTTGACGCAGGGTTATTATTTTATTTTTATTTCATTTAAAAGAAAATTAAAAACAAAACAATCGTGAATAGCTACATGTTAATGGAATCCGCGAACAGTTAAGAATCCTAGTAAAATCACCTCTTACAGAAAAAAAAGAACTAGTTTTATCAAAATCGTGAGATCCATCTCTTAAGAATCCATAAAATTTGGTATAAACTACTTCATCGTAAACATGGACGAACTCACTCTATGGTTAATGGAGTCACTTGATACTACAAAAAAAGGATAAAAATTTGTTTTTCTGTAGGATATTGTGAAAAATCCAATAGTAGAATTGGTAAAATATGTTGTTTGACCTTTAAAATCATAGTTCTAAACCCACCAAACACTTTAAATAGTTTTTGACCACACACATATTTATTTATGAGTCTGCCTTGATCACAAGTCAAGTCAACACCAGATTAACGTATAATCATAATATATTGGATATATTTTAGTAACGTCGATTCTGAGATTTTAAAGTTATAGACAATTTAGTAAAAATTTATATAAATTTAGAGATTTATATATACATGTAGGATGTTCTAAAAAAAAAGAGAGTTATATATAGGCATGGGTATTCGGGGTTCCATTCGGGTTTCGATTTTGTCCAATCGGGTTTTGGTTCTTCAGGTTTATCAAAATCAGCCCCATTCAGATTAATTGGAAGTTCTGTTCGGGTTAGTAAATCTTTTAAGAACCGGTACAACCCATTATACTTTCATATTCGAGTCTCAAACGGTTGTTTGGTTTCGAAATACTTGATTTGTACCTATTTTATAACCAAAACATAAGTAAAATCGGTTCTTCAGATTAAAGTACTTGATTTGTACCTACTTTATAACCAAAACATAAATAAAATCGGTTCTTCGGATTTAAAATACCTAATATGTAACTATTTTATAATTGAACCATAAGTAAAATTGATTCAAAACTAAAAAAGAAACATCAAACTTGGTCATTCAAAATCAAATGAAAGATAAACATAGTTATTAATAGAAAAAAACCAAATAAATGTAAGTATAAAACGAAAACCAAGCTCTTAAAAAATGAGAAACATTATTCAATAATAACAAAACCTTAATTTAAAAATTTCAAGTTTCAACCGCCACTTTCAACCATCAACCTTCATGTAATAGATAATTATTTTAGATTTTTAATAATATCTTAAAATATTTTGGATATAAATTAGGAATTAAGATCATGTTCGGTACACGTTCTTATTAAAAAAATTGAATGTTTCGGGTTCTATTGGATATCCATTTAATTTCGAGTTTAGTTCGGATAATACCTATAACCCGAAATACCATAAAACAAGATCCATTCGATATTTAAATCGGATTCAGATCAATTCAGATTCATTTTTGTCGGATCGGATTCGGTTCAGGTTTTCAGCTTCGGTTTATTTGCCCAGCCCTAGTTACTTATATATACTGGCGAATGTTTGACCAACCTATACTGGCAAGCCCACAGTTTACCACAACTCCCTGGCCCGGTTTAAGACAATAACGTTGTCTATACTGTTCTTGTTGGGCCTTTCTTTATAAGTAAAAAAAATTAAAGTATCAATTTATTACACATTTGGTACACAATTTCCTTCAGATTCTTATTTACATCGCACACTTTCTTTTACGTCCAAAACTTTGTGTTTGCTTATGGACAAAACACAAACTACCCCAAAAAAGACAAAAACGCGTTTAAAGTTTCAATCTTTTCTTCCTCAATTCGGTTCTTCACCCTTTTTGTTTTGATCTTTCTTCCGTTAAAAATTATTAATTTCGTTTTTGAGTTAAAAAAATCATGAGCAAACCCGACCCGGATCCGAAACCGCCTTCAGGATCTTCCTCCTCCGAGAAGGATCCCGTCGTTGCCGATCACGTTACGGAGGAGCTAAGTGATGATCTCAGGAATGTGCGTTTGTCGGAAGAAGAAGAAGCTAACGAGGAGATGAGTGTGCAGATTAGTGTCTCTGAAGGAGGCGATGGAGAAACGGATCAGAAGAGAATGATGATGATGGTTTATCCAGTGAGACCTGATGCAGAGGATTGCTCTTTTTATATCAGAACAGGGAGCTGTAAATATGGATCCAGTTGCAAGTTTAATCATCCTGTCCGAAGGAAGCTCCAAGTAATAACCTTCTTTTTCTGTCTAAATGATCTTTTGTGATGTAAAAGTTTGGTTTTTTTAATGTTCTGGTAATATAATTTTGATGCTTAGTTGGGGTTTTCTATTGATAGGGTTAGATAATTGGGATAAAAAGACAAACTTTGTCTGAGTGAATATAAGTTTCTTGTGCATGTCTCTGTTTATTGTTTAATCTAGTTTTGGTTACTCTAGTGAAAGCAATTTACTTTTTGGTTTGAGTTTAGTCTCTTGTTTTGGTTAGGGATTATTTAGAGTGAAAAAGTGATTTAGGCCTATGTTAATTTTAGTGAAAGTTTTGGTTTTTATATCTGTTTTTTTTGCTATTCTAATGTTTGTGTAATTGGAAGATTGGTAGGGAAAAAGTGAGGGAAAGGGAGAGGGAAGAGGATGTGGAGAATCCGAGGCTCATGGAGTGCAAGGTTAATTAATTGTCTTTCTTTTTTCTCTGTAATGGCATATCTAAAGATTAAATTGTTATCTTCAAATATCTTGTTATGTTGTTATGCTCAGAGTTCTTTCAAAGCATCTTAGGGACTTAAGGTCATGTTATTGTCTAAGACTGATAGGGACATAGGGGTCATGTTATTGTTCAAGATTGCGACTACAATAGCTATGCTGATAGGCACATAGGTCATAGAGTCATGTTATTGTATAAGACTGTTATAACAAAAGTTTCCCAGTTGGAACAACAGTGTATTTGCTAGACAGTGATTTAGTTGCTTGGTTTGTAAAAGGAGGATGATTAGTATTTGCCTTTTTCATATCATGTCTCTGATTTTTCTGTGAGAGATAAACTGTTTACCAATTTCATTATCTCTTTTTGTTATTGTATGTGTATGTTCTCTCCTTGTATTACTGTTGTCTTTGAAAAGTCTGTCTACTGATGTCTTACCTATGCGCCTCAACTCCGAGGATTGCAGTACTACTTCAGGACCGGAGGGTGCAAATATGGAGACACTTGTAGATTCAGCCACACTAAAGAACACACTTCTCTGCCTTCACGTCCAGAGCTTAACTTCCTCGGTCTTCCTATCAGACCGGTATTACATCAATTTACATTTCTAGCATTTTGTCTATAAAACCTGTAATAGTGTAACCAATTTGACAGGGAGAGAAAGAATGCCCTTTCTACATGCGAAACGGTTCCTGCAAGTTTGGAAGTGACTGCAAATTTAATCATCCTGATCCTACCGCTGTTGGAGGAGTTGAATCTTCTATGTTCCGTGGTAACAATGGTGGATCATTTGCCCCAAAGGATGCGCCTCAAGCAAGTTCAACTTCTTGGTCTTCATCTAGACACATGAATGGTACTGGTACTGCTCCTTTTATTCCAGTCATGTACTCACAGAACCGTGGAGCTTCACCTCAAACTCCAGAGTGGAGTGGATATCATCAGGTATTCATATTTACCTCTGATTTTACTTACTTTGATGTACTTTGCTTTGAAAGTTTTATCATTCTTACTTGTGTAGGCGCCTTCTGCCTATCCACCAGAGAGGAGTGTGCTTCCTCCTACCACATACTCGGCTAACAATTCATTGGCTGCAACTAGTTCATTCTCACAATTGTCTGCTGAGGAATTCCCAGAGCGTCCAGATCAACCAGAGTGCAGTTATTATGTTAAAACTGGGGACTGTAAGTTCAAATACAAATGCAAATACCACCATCCCAAAAATAGATTGCCGAAGCAATCTCCATCCTCTTTCAATGACAAGGGCTTACCCCTAAGACCTGTGAGTTTGTTTCTTCTTCCATGCCATTCTTGTTTGCTATCAGATATTTTCAATCATAAAATTATATTCCATTACTTCTTTTTTAATGCTAAAAGTGACCCTGTGGTGAGCTTTCTACAGAAAATATTTGTGATTAATTCACACCTTAATCTCTTTTTTTCTCTTGTAATATTCTCAGGATCAAAGCATGTGCACACACTTCAGCCGCTATGGCATCTGCAAATTTGGTCCAGCTTGTAGATTCGATCATTCTATACCGCCTACATTCTCTTCCAGCAGCTCCCAAACCGTGGAAACTCCTCAAGTCCCCGGCAACGGAAATGAAAACGACGGCTGGAACTGACACGTGACACGACATGTTCAGAAGCCTGCGTAAGAGGATAGTTTCTGTCTTTTTTATCAGGCTTTTTTCAGTTCTTAGGATCAAAACTCTGTTTTCTGGTTTGGAGTTTTATAAAGAAAACATTTAGGTAAGTTATAGTCTCCAAACTATTATCTATCTGGCAAGTCAGTCTTGTTTTTTCGTGATTTTCGCTAAATAATTTTTGTTCTCTGGCTTTAACTGTAACTAGCTACGTTTCGAACTCTAAGGTTCGGTCTAATGGAAGCCTGTCCACGTTATGCTTTGTTCTTCTTCCGTTGGTTTTCATATCTGAATCTTAATAGAATTGCTAGAAACCAGAACCAGACAATGACAGATTATGACATAGATAGTTTTGTCTATGATTGTGTGGTGCAGATTTCCCCAAAGTCCTGTGGGTTTTCAGGTGTCAGCATCTTAGTGATGTGACATAGGGAAGTTAGTTTTTAGGAACTAGAGAGTTTAAATAATCTGTTGGAAGGCTTTCCAGAAACCATATTATAGTCTTGATTAATCTATATATGAACAATAGCATTATGTCAGATTCTCAGATGTTTATTTCCAAAAAGAACAAGTTCTTAGGTGGAGTCAGGACTGCTCAGATGTTTATTTCCATGAAAAAACAAGTTTTTAGGTGGAGTCAGGAGACAAATGTGTTCTCTTATATGATTGTATCCGTTTTTGGGAAAATTGTTGGCAAACAAAAAGAAGAAACAGAATGTATATAATATCAGCAGAAGACAAAAGAAGAAGAAAAGTCAAAGAGTAAGATAGGGTTCATGAACTCTAAAGCCATTTTGTTTGACTTTGTTTGAGATCTCTCTGCCAACTTCTTCAGCTTCATAACCATCTGATACTTCAGAAGACCACAGGAGTTAACCGAAGCAAAGCCATTTCTTCTGCTCAGAGAACATAAAATCATCAGGTAAGCATTGTAAGAGAAAGAAGTAAGAAGTTGAATGTGGTGAGAAACAAAAGAGTAAAACTACCTTAGCTTTTGGGTTTTGAGAATCTTGGTTGTTGTTTTGATCGGTGTTCTGAGGTGAAACCAGAGTACTAGGGCCTGCGCTACCGGATGCTTTCTTGGTCTTCTTCTCGTCACTAGCTTTGCTGAAAATGACAGTGAATCCTTCTGCAGAAGCAGGATTGTTCACATCCCATTCACCAAACTTTGGTAGTGGCTTCCCCTGCACCAAACACATTGTTTATAAACTAGACATGAGGAAACTCTATAGACTTTTGTTTGTTCTTACCGTTGCCATTGTTGAGATGAAAAGAAAGAGGAAAGAGATATGAATATGTAGAGAGAGACGTGGGAGGAGAAGGAAGAGGAAGGAAGTTGTAATATAGATTAGAGAAGAAACATGATTTAGAGGGAAGCACGTTGTCGTTGACAACACATCATTAACCAAATCAACCTCACCTCTTCTCATTCCCCCGCATGTTTCACCAACCGAAGAACCTAACGAGAATTGTTATTTTTTCTTAATTAAAAAATGAACAGAAAACATATACAAAAAAAGTTGTGGAGACCAAGAAGGTTTGTTGTATAATTAAGTAAAGCGTTTTAGTGGGAGGTGAATCTGCAGCAATGCCGCTCGTTATGACTTTTCAAATTGAATATTTTAAACCAATTTTGTAGGTCTGCTGCACATACATTCTGGTCATGTTTGTAGCTTAACTTCTCTGTCATGCACTGCTCATTGTAGAGAGAAAAAATATGATTTGAACCAAATGTGGGTGAATCTGTTAACTCATTTCATTACATGACAAGTGTGATCAAAGATACGAGAAGATTCAAGTAATACGCCATAAGTGGCACTTACATTGCCGCCAAAAAAAACAAAGGATTAAGTTCATTCGCACTCAGTAACAAGAAAGAAAGTGTTGAATCTGTCTTCTCAAGGATCACTCCCTTAGCCATTTAGCTAGAGCTGAATCCCACTCGCATAGCTCTCCTTCTTCGAACCACAAACCTGTAAAACAGCCACCACAAGAGCCAAAATGTCAGCAGCCGAAGTGTGAAACAAACTCAGAAATGAGGATAATTGGTCAAAATAGTTTCCATAATTTAACCAATCCAAAGAGACACAAAATGAAAAACTAAACAAAAACAAATGATTTGTGTAGCCAATTATGAACTAGTCTAGTTATGTGCTCAAGCCTAATAAGAAGAATGAACTAGAAGTAACCACTTTGCTTTGCATTTCTAGTAAAATCCCATTACATGAACATGAGTGAAAGATTAAAGTTCTCACCAATCTCACGCTTTCCGTTTTCAGGACTATCACTACCATGCACAATGTTCCTGAAAAAATCGCATCAGATAAAACATCAAACAATGAGAATCATCTAATACAATCACCAACATTTTTTAAAGGTGATAAAGAGTCTAACCTTCCGGTTTGTACAGCAAGATCTCCTCTAATGGTACCAGGTTCAGCTTGAAGAGGATCTGTTTTCCCTATCAGCTTCCTAGCTGAAGCAACCACACCAACACCTTCCCAAGCCTTTTACAAGAATCGAAACATCACAACCAATTAACTTCAATAAAAATCTGATTACAAATAAAAAAAATAATCAGGATAAGAGTATTAGTGATAACTTAATGATAAGTCATACCATACACACAACAGGGCCTGAAGTGATATACTCAATCAAGCTAGGAAAAAATGACTTAGAGCTAAGATCCTTATAATGTTCCTGCCCATTGATACACACACACAAAAATAATGATGTTTAATTTCAAAAAAATTTATCAATGAACATCTTAACACAGTGAAACTAGTGATGTTATGAGTTATTAGTACCTCAGCCAATTCTTTTGGACACTGGAACATCTTAAGTCCAATCAATTTAAACCCCTTCTTCTCAAAACGAGAGATGATTTCTCCAACCTTAAAGATACATCAATAAAAAATCTCAAGTAGCAAATAAACATTCAAAGTAAAAATTTTACTTTAAATAAAAGAAGCAAAAGAACTTACAAGGCCTCGTTGAATGCCATCTGGTTTAACCATAATGTAAGTTTCCTCAACTTGCTCCTGTAAAAATAAAAAACAAGAAGCTTAAGTAATGAACAAAAAGTAACTTCATTGGAGGGGGAAACGGTTACTAACCATAGAAGCGACAAGGTGAGGGAGGAATATTCCCGAATCTGCTGAGCTGGAAGCGGGAAGACGGCGACGTGACGGAGAAACACGAGAGAAGAGACGGAACTGAGGACGAAACGCGGATAGCTCAGAGCGTGAGTTAACGGTGGTTGGAGAAGTTTTTGGATTGAAAGTTGCTGACTTTACTCTCGGTGACGGCGAGGGGACACAGAGAGTCAATTGACCAACCATAGCCATTGCAACCATTGTGTGTGTGTTCTGTCTCATTGTTTCACTTCCTTAGCTTAATATCGAACATAAGCAGAAATTACATATTTACCCTCTATCCATTTGGGTCTAATAGATCAATCAAAACGTTTTACAGCATAAACTCAATTTTTTGACAACACAGTTTCTTTAAGCAAAATTGTTATATTTTTTTTTTTGGTTCTTCATCATATGTAGTAGACGAGGTTACCAACCCTCCAGGCCTCCACTATCTACCTAACGCGCCTCGTAAATCGCGTTTGAATAACACGTGTGACTGATACGCTTTTTAGGCCCTTGTTAAAACCCAAGGCCTGTTAATGAATATAATAAAGAAGTCCATTAGTGACTCTAAACATTTTCATAAGCAATTTGCTAAGGTGATTTTTGGGCTTTTTAAGAGTGGCATAGGTTATCAGCACCTACGCATATAAATAGACGATTAGAGCATGATTATCCCTAAAAACTCACTTGGATTTCTTAATTTTTTTTGTCAACAAAATTTTCATTCTGAATCAACCAATCACAAATCGCCACGTATCGATGGAATCTGAAATAGCCTGTAAACAGTGCAAAAAACCATAAAATTCTGTTTTAATACATAGTTTTTGTAACCGATGCTTATATTGTTTATGGGATCTACGTGATAAAACCCTCTATAAAACTCACTAAAAAACTCATATAATCATATTTTTAGAGCATGATTAATCCAGAATTTTTAAGGTGGAATTTTTATTGGAAATTAAAAAATTGTTTCTTAATTTTTAATAAAAATAGTTAAAATCGGTTCTAAATAAACATTTAAGAGTCGGTTTTTAACTTTTTAATTAAAAATTAAAAAATAGTTTTTTAGTTTCCGCTAAAACCTCGTCCGTTAAAAACCTCGCCAAAAATCACACCATAAGAACCTAGATTTTTATTGGAAGTTAAGAAACTGTTTCTTAATTTTTAATTAAAATAATTAAAAATCGTTTTCAAATAAATAAGAACCGGTTTTAAGTTTTTTTAATAAAAAATTAAAAAACAGTTTTTTATTTCCACTAAAACTCCGTCTGCTAAGAACCTCACCATAAGAATCCAGATTAATCATGGACTTAGCTCTTCACTAAATAATGTGATGAAAAAAACTTCTTGTTTTATCAAAATGCAAAAATATATACAACTTAAAACTTTTAAACATAAATCTGAGATTAGCAATTTAGCATCATACCCCAAGAGAGAGAGAACCATTACCATAAGAAACAAGCAAAAACTAAAACCCAAAAAAAAAAAAAAGCAACATATGTTCAAGATGAAACTAAAATAACAAAAGTTCATTATTTTTAGTCCTATGGAGTCCAGTCCATGTGTATATGACCCAACCGTTCATCAAATCGCCAAATACGAATCCAACGGCGACCAATACAAACATCACAGACACAAAGCAGCCTTAACGTCAAGCTTCCACGCAAAACCTCCACCGTCCATCCTCCACACGTCACAAGGCACAGTCACCGATCCTCTCTCACGATCTCGACACGTGTACTGAACTCTCACTCTGCATGTGAACGCAGGGTACGTAAGCATCGGCCTCTCCTTCATCACCAACCTTACGTTCACGTGAAAATCATCATAATAATAGCTCACGCCCCCCGCTGGTACTGCACCTTCCTTAGCCATCTTCCTATACGCCTCATTGGTCCACGTCACTCTCCCTACACCGTCCGATATAAAACCGGGACACGTGTCATTCGTGAGATTCATTTTTTTCTCCTCGTCTGTCCTCCCTAAACCGTGACCGTCGATCCAAGCGTCCGTCACACGCTCCACCGTCACGCACGACGAGACCACCACCGTGCGTTTTATAATCTCGGCGGTCTTGTACGGAGGAAGCATCCCACCGTCTCCGCCGCTGAAACTCAGCCATAATGGACCGTGGTTATGATCATTCTCCACCGGAGAAACGTTCAGATCTGGAAATGGTTGTTTCTCAGGCGTCTCTGGTAGAAGAGACAACGTAACCGATGTTTTAGTAGCGGCGGCGTAGGGAGCTTTCTTCCGGTTGCACCTCCGGGAGTTACCACCTGAACTCTCTTTTTGATACTTCCTCTTTCCTCTTCCGGACTTGTTGTTGGAAACATCGGAGCTTCCACCACTATTTGTGGTGGAAACATACTTTCCAGCGGAGCCGGGAGAGATACTTCCGGCGTCGCTGGAAGGTTTAGGGGCAATAGGACGGAACCGAAGCATGATTCGGTCGGCTTTGGAGAGACCGTAACGACCACCGTAACCGCCATATCTGGCTATGCAACATCCTCCTCTACCATCCATATCTTTCACTTTGAATCTTTTAGTTATATGAAGTTAATGTTTTTTTTTTTTTTTGTAAGTATATGAAGTTAATGTTGAGAAGTAGAGAAGCTTTAATGAAGCATGAAGATGATGAATAGGGTGGTGTATGTTTTTATAGGAGTTTGATGATGACAAGTGTTTGGTCGATACGCGTGTGTTTGTCTACGATACGACGCTTATCACCCTTGCACATGGGGCTTTTTTCCTCCCTTTTTTTCCTCCTGTTATATACATATAAATTTTGATTAAAAAAACATATAAAATTGTGATTAAAAAACATATAAAATTATTCAAATTAGTGTGTATTAATTAGAAAATGTCATGAGGAAAGGGGTTGAAAAAAAACAAGAAGAAAATGTCATGAAGTGTTTTACCTATGTATTTCGTTATTTTAATTTAATCATTCAAAGACGAACTAAAGCTAAAAGTAACAAAATTAATAGTCTCTTTTTCTTATAGGCAAAATTAACAGCCTCTCTATGTTTATTCTGTAACTTTACCATGATATAAGCAAGATTGTAATTTCATATAAGAATATATTAGTTGAAATTCAAAATGTGAAATTTTAGAAGTTATCAGTTATATACATAGTAGTACCAAATTATGAAACACTACTGGGAAATAATTAATTGTCATGGAGTTATATTTAAGGGTACCCTCTATTTAATCTACCAGATAAATCAGAGTAAGTCTATGTGGCTTTCTATTCTCTATTCTCTATTCGTTTAGGTGTGAAATAAATCTGATGATAGCGCCAAACCGGATTCGAGACTTTATGATTAGGCCCTATATGTATAAGAAATGGTCACTAAACACAGAATACAATACATAATTAATTAATTAGTAGTTGATTAGTTGATAATCACTTTGACCCTTGTGTTTTTACTACTTTAGTACTTTGATTTGTTTGGCCCAAAAAGCAGACATACTACTTTTGTAACTGATTTGTTTGGCCTTATATAGATATTTTGTTAATATATTATTTAAAATTAAAAGAATACTAGATTTTGACCCGCCCTTCAAAGGGCGGGTATATTTTATGTGTTCATTCTTTTTTTAGAAATTTACTTTTTACATTTATATTTTTTGTAGTCCTATTCTTTTTGTAATCGTATTTATGTAAAATATTTTTAAATGATTAATAAGAAGTTTCGATAATTATATTGAATTTGTAATGTTACATAACTATACACTCGTGCTTAGAATTGGGAAGCGAATTGAACCGGTCCCGCTCGACTCTCTCCGCAGCGTGTTGGAGTCTTTATTTTGACTCACAATTTTAACATGTTTCATATCCGCAAAGAAAATATATTTTACCCGCACCCGTCCTACTTAATTTTGCGGATAACATGCAGGATCCACAGATAATTATTAAATAATATATATTTTTTTGAAAAAATAGTATAAATAATATTTTTTTTTAATTAAAGTTATAATATTTTGCATATTTTAATTATTTTAACTAAACTGGGTATAATTATTTAAAAAAATAAACCTTTTTTTTAAAAAAAATCTTTTTTTCTATCATTTCAAGTTAGCGGATACCTGCGATATAAATTAGACCAATCCGCATGCGCAACTTAGTTTTCTCAAATAGATCAACCCGCATTCGCCTCGCAATGGGACAAATAGGACGTGACCCGTGGACTATGATTAAAATTCCCAGGAGCATTCGTTCCATAGCCATTTCACATATTAATTTGTACTTTATTCCTAAACAGTTAGTCTAAAAAATAAAATAACCAAATATTGTTACAATTTTGTTTAGTAATCACGTAGTAATTAAATAGATAAATTTATATGTTTTTATTAAATTTTCATGATTTCATTTCATATATAATGATAATAACGCTTACACATAATATTACACATAATAATTTTTCATGCACTTTAAAATGGGTTTTATAAATTTTGATCCAATGTTTGGTTTATTTTTTTTACCTATTAAAATAGGTAACGTGGAAAATTAATTGTTGGATTAAACATATATAAATGTGTCATAATCTTAATTTAATAGAATATAAAATGTACATGTACAATCTACATTAATTGTTATAATATTTTTGTTTCTGTTTTCATAGTAGTTACTACATATGAAATGTTCAGCTGTTAGGAATGGAAAAAATCAATACGAATAATGTGACTGTTAACCTGAATAATATGATTTCTTATACTAAATATCTAATTCATCGTCACTATTAATTTTGTTTTTATCAATTATGACTGTATGTAATGTAATATATTTAAATAATAATTCGTATTATAAGAGTGTATGTCATAAAAGAAAGTATGGTTCAGGTAAGTTACAAAAAACAGAAAAGTATGGTCCAAGAAAATATATTTTAATCATACAAATATGCAGAAAAAAAACTAAAAAAAGAGGATGACTTCTTTTAAAACATAACTGTCGCCAATATTACTGAGAAGTGCCCCGATGATTAAGGAATAAAGTAGAAAACATTACTAAAAATAACATCAGATATATGCATAAATTTATTTGAAATATTAAAATGTTGGAATAAATAGTTGGACACAACTTTATCAATAGGTCATGTTCCAGATTTAATAGTATTGATTTACCTATTTACGTATGCAAATATGTTCGAGGATTTTCGGATTATGATTGTAAATTTTAACTAGAGTTTAACTTCATCAGCGAGCAAAAAAAAAAACTTGAACTATTAGGTGTTGAATTTTGGTCCAGTGCATTAGTGGAATGTAGTTTCTGTTCATATAGCCAAAATTATTTCCTATAACCTCTAAGATCTTATGCATTTAATTTTGATTACACTACAAGAAAATAGCTCTATTGCAACATAAAAATTGCAACGTCCATTTTCGTTAACAGTTTGCTATGATTATTGCTATATTTTTGCAATAATGAATATTCATTACATTTTCATTACAAATTTATTGCAAAATAACAACTATAACAGACGTTGCATGTTTTCGTAACTAAATTGCAACCTTTTACGACATAAACAAATATCTTGCAAATTTTGCAAGAAATGTTCAACACTTTTGAATCATTGCTAATTTGCAAAAAACAAATATATGGCAAAAATGTGATATAATTTTATTTTGTTTTGGTATAATTTGGTATCTTAAATAACTTCCCCTTTACTCTCTAAATATCTTTCTTATCCAGAGATACATCTTATTTTTAACTAATACAGTGTAATTCTTGTTTCTTCTCTGCCAAAGTTCATGTTTTACTATAAAAGTCGGATAGATCGTTGATCTGTTTGATCACGTGAGGAAGATGCTGAATAACCACATGTAACTTCTCAAATTTCTTTTGTGTCATTCTTGCAAAATGGATTGTTACGTTATTCCTTTGTTTACGTGATCTTTCTTGTTACGTAAATCCTTGGAAACTAGAATATTTTTTTTACGTATTTCCTTTTATTAATTCCCGCTTTATATTTCATTTAGCAATTTGACTTTTGGTTTGTTAGAGAATAATATATTAGTAGATATGGATAACTCATTATCAAGATTCACTTAGATTTTATTGTTTCCATATATATAGAGAGCTTATGCGGGTGTTTTTAATAATTCTTTTGACTTCTGCACACCGTACGTAGTTCTCCAAGTAAATCTCCAGAAATTCTTTTATTTTTCTTGTGCGTTTTGTACCCTTCATGATTTGCTTTTAAGTGTTAACATTGGTAACTTTTTTTCAGACGAATCAGATGGTAAGTGATGGTTATAATCAAGAAGAAGCCTAGCCAAAGAATGTCTTAGCTGTTCTTAATCCTTCCAGAATGAATGGATCATTGTGGTAAAGTATTTAAAAAAAAGGCACAAGACATTTTTGAAAAAAATGCAGATATCAAAAACGGTTGAGCAAACTTGAAGGCTTGGAAAAACTGATAGTGATCCGTTGTCCAGTTATTCAATCCAGGGGTGTCAACAACAAAGTTTTAATTGACTGCTTTAGTTATTTATTTAAGGTTTTATTTGTTTTTCTAGTTTTAAATTATCGCTGTTTTTTCTATATTAATGTATTGTTGAACTTTTTAATATTTTAGTTGATTTAATAAAGTTGGTCATCTAATTTGTTATCTATAAAATATATACAATGTAAAAATAAATAACACATCTAATATCGCTTATAAGAGGATATTAAAATAATTAATCTATGCAACACAGTTGTATAAATAATTTTATTAAAATATTAATTGTTAACCATATGGTAATCATTGTCAAGAATATTTACACCAAATGTATTATTTAAAACTAATTATAGGAAAATCTGCAAGAAAAAATTGCTATATATTTTGTTGCATTAATATTACTACATTTCAAAAAATATTGTAAATTTGCAATGTTTTTGGTTATATATTTTACGTAGCAATGACTTGTCACCATTTCTGGTTACAAAAACACGTTGTAAATATACAACAAAATTGCTATAAAAACTTGTTGCAATATTTAGACATATATAGCAATAACTCAATTTGTTGCTAATTTTGCTATGTATTTGCAACAAATATGAATTTGCAACATTCAAACTGCAAGAAATTTAAATCTGTTACAATTTTATTGCAATTTAATACTTGCAACAATATATGAGCATGTTGCAACAATATATCATCATTGCAATATGAATATTTTCTTGTAGTGTTAAAACGATGTTCTCATCGATTAGCCAATGCACACAAATAATAGCTGTATTAATATTCAAAGTTATTTGCACATGCAATATCACAAAAATGTCTAGATCAATACACAACAATAAGTAACTGCTATAAATGGATCCTTCTTTTATGTGTGTTTAATTTAGAACGTTTTTATATCCAGATTTTTTTTTTGTTGTTGGAATGAATTTATTATAAGATACTTAGAGCATCCACATCAATGAACTCCCTGTTGGAGTTCATTGATTCAATTGTTTATTATTAAAAAAATTTGATTTTCTTTTTGATTTTTTTTTTTTTTTAAAAAAAAAAAAAAAGTTGACTAACCGCAGGTCACCACGTGTCCTGGGATCCGCGTTACAGTGATGAACCGGGTTCACCGCAGAGAGTCTGCAAGAGGCAGGTTCATCACTATTCCTTATTTTAATAATTTTTTTTTTTTGAAAACCGTGTGAACCCCTATCTGAATCCTTGATGGGGGTGCTCTTTTGTTTGAAATTATAATGAAACTATTATTTTTGGACATGAATGTTAGTGAAACTGAAAAGGATAAGGAGGTTGGATGTGACACATAACATGAAAACCAATGTTCAAACATGTTTTCAGATAACCTAGATTCTAGTTCTAACTTTTAATGACATACAAAACTGAAAGACAAAAACATCTAAGCAAAGGTGGGTGATCAGATCTTATCCAGCTAGTCATATGAATATAAAAAGATACAAATTTAAATTTATAATCTGAACTATGTATTAATTTTGTGACAATTGTTCACATTCACTTCAATTATTTTCTTTTGGGTAAAACTAATTGTAGTTGGATTTCAAATTTGAATCATGTACTGTATTTTGTTTTCAACAACTTTCAATCATGAATAAATACCAAGATTAGGTTTATATAACATTGCAACGGAAGAAAAAGGTAATGTTAGGCATGGTCCAAGAGATAAGGGGTTCATATATTATCATTGACCAATTCTGATTTCTATTTAGTGGAATTTAAATTATAAAGGTGATCGCGACTCTAGATCTCAAATCTTAATTCAGGGGACAAGGTCGATGATCATCTCATATCTGAAGACGAATTTTGTGCCAATGGAGTTAGGTCACGTCTTTCCAGGAACGGCCTAGGAGAGAAGCCATCTAAACCATGCATTAAGACATCCAATATAAGAGAACATTTTTTATTTTTATAAATGTATATAGATAAATAAAATTAATATTTTTATAGTTTTGAATATTTGTTCGACACTTCTAGTTTTAATGCTTTCAAAGCATGATTTTTGAATATTTATTTAAACAACGGTATGCTTCGAGACATAATTGTGATTATTTATTTATGTAGCAAATTTTTTCCGATAATCAATATCATAAGAAGTTAAAACTATTGAAATGCTTAATTTCTTGAAAAGGTATATTATTACCAAAACACACAAAAAATTCAAAAGTTTTCAAAGTTGAAATTGTTAAAAATTATTTATGGTCTGACATGCATGCCCATGAAAAAAAGTAAATGAGTTGATCTTGTTACCGACCTCCATCTATGATTGAAATATTTAACTATACAATTTTTTTTTGATTTTGTAGGAAAAAAATATAAGAAAACTATAAATAGTTGATTTCCTTCTATTGTTTTACGAAAATTAATTTACTCTTGTATTTTTATTTTTATTTTTATTTTATAATTTTGGATATATATAGGACATAATGGTTTAAGGCAATATATGACACCAGATGGGCTCTACCTCGTTCTAAACAAAAGAAAAAGGATGAACAATATTTAATCAAACACAGATAAAAGATTTTGAAGATATATTTCTATCAGAGAAGTTTTTTTCATGTCAAACATTTGTATAGATAAACATTATATAATATATATGCTTCATAATAGTAGATACGTTTTTTATTTGTAACTAATCTCATTTACACAAGCATCCCGAGAACATATCATAAAGTTGAAATATACTTCATTTGTTTTATTTTAATTGTCGTTTTAGTTGTACATACCAATTAAAAAAATTATTTTTACATATTTTCAAAACAAAAATATTATCATCTATAAACCTAACTACATTTCAACTAATAAAAGAATATCATATAAAATTAAAAAAAATATTCTAAAATCATAAGACAATATTTATTTTAAAATAAAATACTTATTTTACAATAACATTTAAAATTTAAATGAAGAGAATATTTTTTTGTCAACAGAGAAAGTAATATATAACTGGCTTTTGTTAATTGTTGTTCTTGACATAATCAAATTAAACTATATATTTACGAACGTAGTATTATTAAAACAGCAAAAGGACATAATACATCGTGGTCCTATCCCATTCGGGAAAATTATGGACATAAGTATATATAGAACGTACTAAAGTAAAATAAAGAATAACCATAAAATAAAAGTAGATTCGGAGGGGAGTTCCAAGAAGCGATGGCATCTAGAAAATTTGATGGGTGTTTGTGTTGCGTTGTACTTGCATGGTAACACGCAAGGGGACACGTAGTAATATGTGATTAGCCACTACATTAATTAACTATCATTAATTTAAACATATGATTAAAGTAATCAAACAGGCTTAATAATTAGTCTACCTGGCCCTAGGATCGTCCAAATTGAAAGTGGGAAGAAACTGACTGATGTTGAGACCTGAGAGTTAGGTTTGATTCTCATAATTAACATTCGATCTCATCTTCTATTTCATGGAGATCTTAAGTTATTGAAGATTTTATATTCCATTTATTCATTATATATATTTTTTAACTGAACGTAAAATTTATTCTCTCATTTTTTTTACAATAAATGCATTACTAGCTTGGAAAAATCATTTAAAATCTAACTTCTTTTGTATATCCTTGTATCCAAAAATTACCGACTAGCAAACTATCACTTTACTGCCTTATTGATTATTCACTTTCCCACTTCTTGAATAGAGATGATGATTCCTCACTTGCTTATCTCTTCATCATATTACTACTAGATTATATATTCTAAACAATAAGATTAACTCACATAAACTCATTTCTTCAAACGTCATTACCTAGTAAATAATAAATTCATGATTAATTATTTAGTAAAAGTATCAATTCCTTTAATTAATGACATTCTGTTGTTTACAGACCATACCCTAAACGTGAAAAAAATATAGTCTTCTAATCAACTAGTTCAATTCTTCTCATGGTATATAATATGTTAAATACAAACAAGTTATAGTGGTTCCACTTTGCAGACGTTCCTATAGATAGTAATGCAATTATAAAGTACATGCCATACTTTCTAAAAGAAGGTTGCACACATATAATCTTTTGGGTTGGATCAGATCAATTATATATGGCCTAAAGACATTGATTAATACGTATTAACAAAATATAATAAGCATTAAATTAGAAAGCATTGATCACCTTTGCCCTCTCACTCTCACCTACTGCTTCTTTACCTAACTATAAAATTACAGTTATATATCCAAAACTAGCCAACAGTTTCAACAAAAACCACCATGTAAACATGTTGAGATGTTTATTTTTATGTCAATCTTTTTGTTTTTAATTCAAATTTTCTTTAGGCATTAAGGGATTTACATCATTTACTTAGTCTTACGGCGTTTGCTTCTCAATGTATCATCTGATGACCGAACTCTAATGAGATTTATGTGTAGTAACATTTGGTATTTTCAAAAAGGAATTGATATACATTTTAACTTTTATATAAGATAAGACCAGTAGTTTACGGAATCGTAATCAACACTAGGCATAGCCAGGAGCGGGCGTACGCCTACGATACCAGGATCACGTGCTCCCTACAGTTTTTTTTATTTTTCCTTGAATATTCTTTATCAATTTTAGTAAAATATTATTAAAATAATCAACAAAATTTCCCCCAGTATAATTTGTTTTTGTTGTTTTTAGTATGGTGCCTTCGGTTAAATATGTTTCTAGATCCGTCCCTGAGCTCATGCCGTGCTGTCTCCATTGAATTATGAATTTCGATTATTATAGAAGTATATATCCAATTATTTGATAAGCAGATGGGATGGGACAAAGCAATCTTATCCGCTAATGACCGTGTATCTCATTTTCTTAAGTATTGTATCTTGTACATATAAAACAAAACCTTAGGCTACGTTAACACTAATATTTTTTCTTCAAAGGAATAAACTACATACAAACACATTAGAAAAAAATTTAAACAAAACATAAAATTACTGAACTTTATTTTTTCTTTTATGGCTTTTATATAAATTTGTATAAACTCACGTAAAAAGTTATTTGTGTTTATATAATATAAACATTTAATCGTTTTTGTTATATATTCCTTTCTACATATTGTTTTATAAAATCAAGACAAGTACTAGATCCTATCAGCAAAAAAAAGAATATATCAAGCACATTCCTCCAATCACAATTCACCAACTCAAGAAAGACGTGTATATATGTAAAGAGATCTCGAAGACACAGAGAAAAGGGTTGGACCGAATCACCACAAGACCATGCTCAAGAACCCTAATTGGGGATGGTGGCTAAATGGATTTGTGACACGTATGTGTGCATTTGTTTGTGTCAGAGTCAGTAAAGTAAAAAAAAGCTAATGTCTGATGTCCAATAAGGATGTTGAAACTGGTCGTTTTGTCTGTGACACTTGTACATTTATGGAAAGGAGGAGCCATGTCTCTACCGCACTCTTTAGTTTATTCCTTACTACTTTGTCGCCATTATTTAGATATTTACAAAAACTAATACAGTTTACTCTGAAAACAGTTCACGTTTCATATGTTATTCTATGTTTCGATTGATAGCACCAATGAATATTTCAGTATACCATGCTACTTTCACTGTAAGATCTTGGTAACTTTTAATGTAAATTCGAGTAGTTAATGTTTTGTATGCTGAGTGAGAACTAATTCTATATGTCGAATACTAATTATGTGATGCTGACCAAAAGAAAAACATCTATAAACAATCGCATGCAAATCGACATTTGGTAGCTGCGTAAGTTTTGTTGTCAACAAAATAAAATTTAAAAGGATTCTGTTAACTATGTGATCATTTTTTCTGTGTGAACGGTGTATATCATATAATATGTGTGATAGCGAACTTGTTGAATTTTATTAATTACAGTCTTTGAAACTTTTCCATATTTCTTACAAAAGCATGTTATTCATGTGATTCAGCAATGCTATTTCTACCAACTCCAAACAACATATTATAAAAATACTTGTGTTTGTTGAAATATACACTCTTTAATTAACTTATGTGAGATATTCAAATACTTTATGCAATCCATCAAAATCCCTCTCTATATATTTGAAGTGGGAAAAAATGAGGCCATGAAAGATACACGTGTCACACTACAAGTAGTCACAGCTGAACAATGAATGAATGTAAATTTCTACAAGGGCCCAAAACAGTCTATATACATTTACAGTAGAGAACATGTACACATGTCCTACAACGATTGGATACAAATGTACAAGTCTCATCCAGGTGTTGCCTTCAGTAGCAAGGAATCTGAGCTACAAGAACTCTTGTTTTCAAGTGTTGCCTAGAGAAGCAAAGAACATGAGCTAAAAGAAACCTATAGACCTGTGTTTACCATGTCGGCACATACACTCCGGGACAGGATAAGCCACCACGTCACGATCTCTCCTCCCTCTCCGTAACTCAGGACGGCCTTGAGACTTACCGTGAAGCTTCCTAGCCACACGACTCAGCTCAGCATCAGAAACCAAAGGGTTCTCCATCAAAGGAAGCATCGCTCTCTTATTAGGCATTATAAACTTCCTGTGCCCTACATAAGCTCTGTTTCCCTGAAAAAAAATCAAAGAGATTATGTATTCCGTGTACCACACGCTATTATTTTTTCAATATGTGTGCGTTATTTACTTACCTGCATAGCTTTGGCCATGTTTCCACCATGTGAAGGAAGAAAAACATCGCTACTAAGTGAGACAATATAGTCAATAGCAGCCAAAGCTGAAGATCTGTTAGCGTAAGGCACAAGCTCTCCTCTATGAGCTAAAGTTTCCTTAGTCACCAAGTTAGCAAACTCTTTCACTAATGGCTCCATAGCTCTTGACCCACCAAACGGCTCACCTCCCGCCACATATATCGATGCATTCCTCGGTGCTCCTAAAGCCTTCAACAACCTTGAAACCCAAGAAAAAAGAGTTAGGTTACACCATCAAAACAGTTAGTTTCTTCTTTTAGTAAGTTTTTTACCTTGCAATCTCATATGCATTGAGAGGACACAAACCAGCAAGCCTACGCTCTGTATACGTCAAGTTGAGTCTACCAGTAAGATACCTAGGCTGAGACCTTCTTGTCTCCGCTATGATTCTATCAAACTCTGAGCCTAAACCGGTGAGACAACCGGTTCTAACCCACACATCTTTCTCTAGCCTTAGATGGAGAGCTATGTAAGGTCCTTCTATCCACATCCTTCTCGCGAGTCTGTTGCCAAGACTCTCAACGTCTGCTTTGAATCTAAGTGCGTGGAAAGCAACTTTGCATCTGAGTTTCTGCAGATCAGGAGGGAGGTTCTTGGCTAGCCTTGAGTCTAACCCTTTCAACACCAAAAGCCCTTCCTCGTTCAACTGTTTAAAGAACTTAGCACGGATCCAAACCGGTGAAACATCCCACGGAATCTGATTCTCTATCGTCTGTCTTGACATTAGATGCGTTGACGGTAGTGAAGAAACAACACGCACGTCTGATTTAAGTGTTTTCTTGAAATGCTCCACGTCAAAAACGTCTGAGAACTCACTGAGATAAAAAAAATAAAACAGAGCATCAGTAAAACCCTAACTTGAATCACAAATTAACTCTGTTTTTAATCACAAAACAGATCATCACTACAACCCTAACTTGACTCACAAGTTAAATCTGTTTTTATCACAAACAAATCATCAATACACCAATTAAACACAAAACAGATCATCACTAAACACTAACATCGCTCACAAATTAACTTTTTTTTTATCACAAAACAGATCATCACTATAACCCTAACTTGACTCACAAGTTAACTCTGTTTCTATCACAAAACAGATCATCACTAAAACCCTAACTTAGCTCACAAACTAAGTCTATTTTTAATCACAAAACAGATCATCACTGAAACCCTAACTTGACTAACAAGTTAACTTTGATTCTTTATCATGTGTTACCTTTCGTCACCCCAAACACGATTCACCTGCAAAACGGGAACAACAAGAGCAGCTTCAAGAATCGCAGCTATAACAACAGCGTCAACGATCTGATTCCTTTGCTGGTTAAGTCCACCAGAGACAACAACAACAAGGAAACGTTTCTTCTCTTTAGAGACTCTCGCAGCTTTCTTCCTATAAGCCAAACTAAACTCCAAACAAGGCTTGTATCCTTCACCATCAGGCTGTTTCCAGAACTCTCTCTCTTCCTCCGTTACATTACCTGAAGATCCCTCTCTCGCTGGTAAAGGAAGTAACGTGGAAGGCACGGAGACAGAGGCTAGGGAAGTTAGGAGGTGACGTGAGAGAGTGAGAGAGGAAGAAGAAGTGGTGGAGACGCATGTGGTTAGAGATGATGTGAGGAGCGAGAGTCCTGAGAAGAGGAGAGAGAGTGAGATGAGGAGGAGGAAGACTTGCTGAGGAAGGCAACGAGTTTGGTGGTTGTTGTGGTAACGAGGGCTGGTGATTCTCTTTGGCGGAGAGAAGAAGAGGAGGAAGGGAGATTGTGGATGTGGTGTGAAGAATGGGTTCTTGATTGTTCTCATCGTTTTCGCCATTGAAGCTTCTTTTTTTTCTCTTTGCAAAAGAAGTGAGAAGAAGAAGAAGAAGAGTCGTTAATTCTGTTATAGAGTTTAACTAACTAACCGAAAGATTGCAAAATTGCCCTCCGTATTTTTAGTTTGTTACATTTTAGACCTTAATTTTGTTTTAGCATTAAATTACCCCTGTTATTTTCACTCTATCTGAATACAAATTGGAGGATTTCAAGTTAAGACCGGTTTAGCTTTGGTTTAGTACTTAACCGATACTCTATCGAAGTCGTTATCAAATCAGACAGAGACCGGTTTAGTTTTGGTTAGTGCTTAACCGATACTCTATCAAAGTTGTTCTCAAATCAGACTAAGACCGGTTTAGTTTTGGTTAGTGAACCGATACTCTATCTAAGTTGTTGTTATCTAATCAGACTAAGACCAGTTCAGTTTTGGTTAGTACTTAACAGATAAAGTTGTTATCAAATCAGACTCTCACATCGTTCTGTTTGTAAAGAGAAAGAGTATAAAGAGACTGAAAAGAACTCCTGCGTTAGACAGGAGATAACAGAGGATAATCAAAAGATCGTTTTCGATCCAAAGTATAAATTATTTTTGCCGATGTTTTGTTTTTTTAAAAAGGTTGAAGAAAAGACTAAAAAAGAAACTGTCATTCCGCAGATGAGAAGATATATAGATGATTTGTCTCTCTTGTAGGTAAGGAAAAGAATGGATTCTAACCAGATGTCACTCTTCTTTCATCATCAGGACAATGCTTTTTGAACCTCTGATGTCACTTCTTTGGGAGGCTTCTCCGCGTGGACGTTTGTAAGAACAGCCTTCTTTGCGTAGTAATCAATCACCTGTCAGCAATGAAAAGAACATTAACATGAAGGTGTTCACAAAAGAAGAGTGTAAAGAGGCTTAGATTCAATGCAACAACTAAGCTCTATACGTGTAGAAGTAATCAGTACCGGTTCAGTTTGATTGTGGAAAGCTGCAAGCCTCGACCTTAGAACCTCAGCATTATCATCTTTACGTTGGATCAGAGGCTCTCCAGTAATCTTCAAAACAACGGAGAAGATTATCAGTTGGTTAACAGATTTTGTTGGAGGGAACTTGAATAGACAGAAGAAAGGATTATTATTAGTCTTACATCATCTACTCCAGGGGTCTTGGGAGGAGCGAACTTGGTATGGTAACTCCTGCCACTAGATGGGTGGATCCATCTCCCGGTGATTCTTTCCTCCAGGACCGAGTCATCAATAGCAAAGTTGAGAACTTTGTCTATTCCAGTTCCTCGCTTCTTAAGCATCTCATCTAGCTGCAAACAAACAACAAACCTCCCATAAACAAAACCATAAGAACATAGAGAAGATACAGTGACGTTTTTAGTGTAATAGCACCTTCTCTGCCTGAGCAACAGTCCTGGGAAACCCATCAAGGATAAAACCTTTCTGACACTTTGGCTTGTTCATGGCTTCATCAATTATACCAACAACCAATTCATCAGTGACAAGCGCTCCCTGTTTTAAAAAAAGAAAAATTCACAAAAAAAGATAATCAAAATCAACAAAAGCAATGGAAACAAGAAGTCTCTCAAAGAAGGATTATAAAAAAGAGAGGCTGACCTTGTCCATGGCTTCTTTGGCCTTGAGACCAAGAGGAGTCTTAGAAGCAACAGCAGCTCTTAACATGTCTCCAGTGGATAAATGACACAAACAATACTCATCCTTCACTATTGGAGATTGTGTACCTTTCCCTGACCCTGGAGGCCCTGCAATTTTCACACACAAAAAAAAAAAAAAAATTCTCAACACTCAATCCACGAAACCACACGTATAGAATGGGAATCATCGCCACCTTGACTTCCACAAGGAAAGAGACAGTTCAGTCTCTCAAACACACCACAAGAACCTAAATTTTCACCAAATATATTTTCCATGGTTTAAAACTTTTTTGACACAACCAAAAAATGAAATTTTAGATCTACAAAACCTGAGACAACTTATTCACATTTACGAAACACACAAAATATATCACTATTAACATTACAAGTATCTTTTAACATTATCTTAAACACAGATACCAGACCAAAGTAGTGAAATTTTAGATCTACAATGTCTCTCTTGTCAGAAAAACAAACAGAACCAATTAAGAACAAACTTTAGTGTAACATCACTCAAAGTAATAATTATAATTTCATCATTACAATAAAGCAAACCACGAACTTGTTTAAACTCACTGAAACAATCTCTCAGATCTAAAAGCTACCCTTCTATAAAGTTTTAAACTTTCTCCATCAACACAGTAAAATTCACCAGAAAAAAACCAATAAAACAACAAAAAAATTCCGGATCTAACGAAACTACAACGATAAGCGAGCAGAGGAGGATTAATTGATGAAGTTACCAATGAAGATGAGACGCTTGTCGGGCTTTTGAGCACATTTGAGACGGCGGAGGAGCTCGGACATGAGATCCACTGTCTGAACATCTTCCAAATCCGCCATAGCTTCTGCTTCGCTTCTGTCTTAAAGTCTTCGTTTTTCTCGAAAGGGGTTTTTTTTCGCTTCGTTAGTCAAAAGGATATAACAGTTAATCGGACTCGGGTTTTCTGAGTTCGGGTCGGGATGATTCACGACTGTTGTTACCCTTAAGAGGTATATTAATTTACATTATTGCCACTAACTTTTTCAGACTCGGACTTCGACCAATTGAAGCTCTCATTAAGCCCAATTAACGGCCCACCAAATATTATACGAGCGATTGGTTTACTGCTACTAAACCCTAATGTACGGTTTACAATAGGCATGAGCATTGGGCTATCAGTTTTTTTTTTGGATTTTGAAGTTAGGTCTTGTTCGAATATTACAAAAATTCAGGAATGAGTCGAGTCTTTCTGGGTCTAGATGTGCTCAGTTCTAATGATTAAGAATCTGAAAATAACCAAATAATCAATGTATCTGAAACGAATTCAGATATTTGTACTTAAAGTAATCATATTAACCAATTCGATTCTTTGTTTTCAAATTACTAAAAAATACCAAAAATAACCAAAATACTCATTTAACACGGTTTATTTGAATATTTCTATTCAAAATTTTTTATTTCATCCGAAAATACACAAAGAATTTAAAATAACTAATATATTCATTTTATAATTATAATTTAGATTATTTAACTATTTATAAACATAACTAAAAGTAATATTTTTAGATATATATTTACATTTTAGATATTTTCGGATACTCATTCAATTCGCGGTTCGGATCGGATATGGTACCGGTTCTTCATATATAGCAATTGAAAACCCTTATTTGATAATTTGCACCGGGTTCACTCGGTTCGAAACCCTGATTTTCGGACTGATTTCGGATGGGTTCTTCGGGTCCGGATATCTCGTCCAAATAACCTGACTAATTTTGAAGCTCTAATTAAGCCCAGTTAACGGCCCGCCAAATGCTGTACGGCGAATGGTTTAATGCTAATAAACCCTAATGTTCGGTTAAGAGTTAACCGGTTTCAAAGGTTTTGTGTGTATCGTTCTCCATCAGATAAGAAAGAAAGATAGTTTACAGTCACAGAGATACTTTTCTCTCTCAATCTCTCTCTCTCCATTTCCCGCTAATCCCCAATCCTTAAACCCTCCCCTTATCTCTCCATCTAGGGTTTCTCTGTTTTCTTGTTATTATTACACAGTGATGAAACCTGCTGCTTCTTTGCAAGGTTACACTTCTTCCTCTATCTACTTCGATACTCGCAGACCAGTTCCTACTCCTCCCTCCAAAATGGCAGCGTTCAGTGCTCTATCTCTCTGTCCTTACACTTTCACCTTCCGACAAAGCCCTCGAATTAAGCCTACCGTGTCGTGCTCCGTTACTTCTCCTCCTACATCTGGTCTGTTTGTCTTTTTCCTCTCTATTTTCCTTTTTTTTTTTTGTTTCTGGGTTCCTGAAAGTTTTTGCCTTTTCACTAGAAAAATGAGTTATTGATAATGGGTTTGTATTATTTTTAATTAATACATTAAAAAAATCGAAATTTTTTTTAATTTTTCATAGAAAAATTGAAACTTTAGTTTGTGATCCTCTGACTAGAATCTTTGAGATTTATTGTTTATAAGTTCTTTGTTAGTGTCACTCTTGTGTTATATAGTGACTCTTGTTATGTTCGTTTTCAGGTTTGTAGTATCTTTAATTATTACATAAAAATTTGAAACTTTTTTTTATTGAGTTTCATAGAAAAATTGAAACTTTCGTTTCTGATGCTCTGACTAGAATCTTTGAGTTTTTGTTGTTTATAAGTTCTTTGTTAGTGTCACTCTTGTGTTATATAGTGACTCTTGTTATGTTCGTTTTCAGGTTTGTAGTATCTTTAATTATTACATAAAAAATTGAAACTTTTTTTTTTTGAGTTTCATAGAAAAATTGAAACTTTCGTTTCTGATGCTCTGACTAGAATCTTTGAGTTTTGTTGTTTATAAGTTCTTTGTTAGTGTCACTCTTGTGTTATAGTGACTCTATTTGTTGAAACTTGTTTCAGGTACTTCTTCTGCGTCCTCTAAGGCACCTCGGAGAAGATCAGGTAGATTAGAAGGAGCGGGGAAAAGTATGGAGGACTCTGTGAAACGTAAAATGGAACAGTTTTATGAAGGAACAGATGGACCTCCGCTGCGTGTTCTTCCCATAGGTGGACTTGGTGAGATTGGGATGAACTGTATGCTTGTTGGTAACTATGATCGTTACATTTTAATCGACGCCGGTATTATGTTCCCTGAGTAAGTCTGGAGAGTGATTTGTGTTTGTTAATATTGGTGAGAAGTTTTTCTTTTAAAGTTTGTGGTGTTGATATTCTATGGATTACGTTTGATGTGTAATGTTACAGTTATGATGACCCTGGAGTTCAGAAAATTATGCCGGACACAGGATTTATTAGACGATGGAAACACAAAATTGAAGCTGTTGTTATAACGCATGGTCATGAAGATCACATTGGTGCCTTGCCTTGGGTAATGTCTTCTTCCACTTTTCTAAAAGACCATAAAGAGCCATAAACCATTGTTGAGGCTCATGTGTATAAATAATGCAGTTCAAGTCCCTTACCATCGTTAGTGTCTCTCCTCTTTTTAACTAATACTCTTTTTGCGTGAACAGGTTATCCCGGCTTTGGACTCTAATACACCAATATTCGCATCATCCTTTACTATGGAGGTGATTCACACCTTGATCCTTGCTATTTCATTTGTTCTCTCAGTTTGTCTTGTATTTTTTTAACAGATACTAAGCTTAGATGTATACTTTTACATTAATACACTCCAGCTTGCATTCTTATCCGTAGAATTTTTATGTTTAATGACTTAGTTTCTTTGCAATTTTAGCTCATGGATGTGATTTTGTTGTTGTCTGTACAATAGCTTATAAAGAAGCGTTTGAAGGAGCATGGGATCTTCGTTCAGTCTAGACTCAAGACATTTAGTACTCGAAGGAGATTTATGGCTGGACCATTTGAAATAGAACCCATTACAGTTACTCACTCTATTCCTGATTGTAGTGGTTTAGTCCTCCGTTGCGCTGATGGTAATATTCTTCACACTGGAGACTGGAAGGTAGAGTAACCACCCCTTCATAAACTCTTTCATGTCCCTTTGTATAGTCATCAAGGTAGTCTGATTAATAACAGATTGATGAAGCACCATTGGATGGAAAAGTATTTGATCGTGAAGCTTTAGAGGAACTCTCAAAGGAAGGAGTCACGTTGGTAAGGATTGTACCATTGTTTTACGGACTACTTTAGGTGATAATGTGAAAAAAACAATTTGCTATCTCTTACGCAGATGATGAGTGACTCAACAAATGTATTGTCACCGGGAAGGACAACTAGTGAAAAAGTGGTAGCAGATGCTCTGGTGAGGAATGTAATGGCGGCCAAGGGAAGAGTTATCACGACTCAGTTTGCCTCTAATATACACCGTTTGGGAAGTATTAAGGCTGCTGCTGATTTAACTGGTAGAAAGTTGGTATGTCTTATTTCTCTTGTTTTAAACTTCTGCTATCAATTTAAAGCTTCCACATTTCTATGCCATGCGGTCAAGCTTATTCAATGTACACTGTTCATTTTGTTTTTGTTCTTTTTCATCTAGGTCTTTGTTGGCATGTCCTTGAGGACATATCTAGAAGCAGCTTGGAAGGATGGAAAGGCTCCAATTGATCCGTCAAGTTTGGTATAAGTCCTCTCTCTGATACGGCCTCTTGTATGATGAATTTGAAGAGATACATAAGTGCACTAACCACTTATGATGCAGAGAGTCTGTTTTTAGAATACTTTCTAACTTCATTGTATCTTTCATCCTTTTTAAAACAACTTCGCAGGTGAAAGTAGAAGATATTGAAGCCTATTCTCCTAAGGACTTGCTGATTGTCACAACTGGATCACAAGTAAGTTGATCTCGTAAAATGGGAGAGTGGTGGTTTGAAATTAAATTTCTTGACTACTTACTTGGTACCCTTTTTTGGTCTCTGAATAGGCAGAACCACGTGCTGCCTTGAATCTTGCATCATATGGAAGTAGTCACGCGTTCAAACTGACTAAGGAAGACATAATTCTTTACTCAGCCAAGGTATTAGAGAGATGTTATATGAAAAGTGTACCTACATATACTAAAACAGGATTGCTGATATCTATTTTCCGGTCTAATGTTTTACTAAAGGTAATCCCAGGCAATGAATCACGAGTAATGAAGATGATGAATCGGTTAGCAGATATCGGACCAAAAATTGTCATGGGTAAAAATGAAATGCTGCACACATCTGGTCATGCTTACCGTGGAGAGTTGGTAAGTGGCTCCTTCTCGTAAGATTCTGGTGATACAGTCCAGTTTTGTTGCCAGTTTTTCTTTTAGAGCATATGTAAAGGAATAAACTAAAAATAAATTTCCATTTTGGGTTGCAAATTGAGGAATGTCTAGGGAAAAACTTGTTTGTAATTATGATTTTGAATTCTACTTTGTTTTTGAAGGAAGAGGTTCTTAAAATAGTGAAACCACAACATTTTCTACCTATACATGGAGAGCTTTTGTTTCTCAAGGAGCATGAGTTGCTCGGGAAGTCTACTGGTATTCGTCACACTACTGTAAGTCTCTCACCAAAGATTTATGAAGATAGACAACATTCAACATATATAGATACCTCAGTAATAAAAATAAATATCAACCATTTTTTTCTGGCATTGAGGCTAAGAGCTTTTGCTGAATGTTCTCACATTGTTTTTACTTTACTTTCTCCAAATTCAGGTTATAAAGAATGGAGAGATGCTTGGAGTTTCTCACTTGAGAAACAGAAGAGTTTTGTCCAATGGATTTAGCTCTCTTGGGAGAGAGAATTTGCAGGTTGGTTTATTACCTGTCTTTGCGTAAATGACTTGTGTAGATACTGAATAAACCTATCCATGCTGCAGCTAATGTATAGTGATGGTGATAAAGCATTTGGCACAGCAAGTGAACTCTGTATTGATGAGAGACTAAGAATTTCATCAGATGGCATTATAGTTCTAAGGTATGTCCGAACTATAACATCTTTGGTAAAAAAAACACTTATGCCAATCTAATAACTCTTTTTATAACAACACAGCATGGAAATCATGCGCCCTGGCGTCTCGGAAAACGCATTGAAAGGGAAGATAAGAATCACAACGCGATGTATGTGGCTTGACAAAGGAAGACTATTAGATGCACTTCACAAGGCAGCACATGCTGCTCTATCAAGCTGTCCTGTGAACTGTCCCTTGTCTCACATGGAGAGAACTGTCTCCGAAGTCCTGAGGAAGATTGTGAGAAAGTACAGTGGTAAAAGACCTGAAGTCATTGCCATAGCCATGGAAAATCCAATGGCTGTCCGAGCAGATGAGGTCAGTGCGAGGATGTCCAGTGATCCAAATCTTGGCTCTGGAGTTGCAGCGTTAAGGAAAGCTTTAGAAGGAAAACGAACCAAGAAACCACCTTCTTCGCAAGATGATGTAACTGATAGTGCAGGACTACTCGCTGAAGAAGAAGCCGCTACTTCATCAACATACACAGAAGGTGCTGAAGATGTGCCTGTTCAGAGTTCTTCAGAAGAATCAGATGATTTTTGGAAGTCATTCATCAATCCAAACGTGAATAAGTTAAGTGATGCAGAGGCTAAAGCAGAGGATAGTGAAAGCAGCAGAGAAAAGGAAGAGGAGGAGGAGGAGGATGATATATCTGATTCTCAAACGAAGTCGTTGGCAACAAAACGTGTGAGGAGGAACAAGTGGAAACCTGAGGAGATTAAGAAGGTGATCAGAATGCGTGGAGAGTTGCATAGTAGGTTCCAAGTTGTGAAAGGTAGAATGGCTTTGTGGGAAGAGATCTCTTCAAATCTATCTGCTGAAGGAATCAACAGAAGTCCTGGACAGTGCAAGTCTCTTTGGGCGTCTCTTATTCAGAAATACGAGGTTCCTCTCTTAACTAAGTGCATGTTTTAAGGCACACACACACACACACACTCCCTACTTGAAACCATTATGTCCAAATTTAAAAGGTTTTTTTTATATATGTAGCTAACTTGTGACATTGTTGTACTATGCTTTTTTGGCAGGAGTGCAAGGCTGATGAAAGGAGCAAGACGAGCTGGTCACACTATGAAGACATGAACAACATTTTGTCTGAGTTAGACACACCTGCGCCTAAGTAATATGTGATTGCATTACATTTATTTGGCGCAAAGAATCATCTCCAGATTAGAATATTCAACAAAGACATTCATTGTATTAAACATAAAGATGAATTTTTTTGTTTGTAGAAGCCATTAAAACATGAATACCTGCCAAAGAAGAAGAAAGAGCCTTGAGTCAAATCTCAAATGTTTTAGACTCATTTGTATTGGTTTTGGTTTATCTTGGTTTAGAATCGATTTTGGTTTAAACAGTTGAAATAAACCGGATTTTGTTGTTTCTGGTTCTTCAATTATCCGTTTGTTTCAAACCTCTCTTCGAGAACCGATGTGGTACGATTGGATCTAACGCTTAAAGAAAAAATTGAGATTAAATGTGAATATACAAAACATAATTAAAAATTGAGGATTAAACATGAATTTATAAAACATAATTTTTAGATTATTTGATATGTTATAAAATATATTAATTTTTAATTATATATAATATTAATATATTTTCATGTTTAGAATCTTATAAAATACACAAATATAATATATAAATTTAATATGATATAGTCATCAAATTATGATTATGAATTACTTTTATTAAATTTTAGATCAAATAAATAGAATAAAAATATTATTAAAATTAAAAAAATAGATTAGCCATAAGCAACTGCTTAAACGGTTATTTAAACGGCCTAAACAGATTAAAATCGGACAACGAGTTTTTACAACAATTTAACATAAATAAAAACGAAGGAGAATTATTTAGCGTCTAAATGGCTGTGTAGACGTAGCGGACCGATTTTTAGAACATGGCAAACTACAAATCAAATCACTAATCTCATTCAAAAACCCGGAAATATTGAACCGAAAAATTAAAATAAAATTTAACCAACTAAATGACGGTTTTACCCTTTGGGATTCGTAACCTGCCGGGTCCGTGCGCCACCGTGGATCGCCGTGAGCTATTTATCAAAAAATAACTTCATTAAAAGATAAAAGTGAGAAGAGATGCCGAAGAGAACGACGCATACTTACTCTAGCGAGGACGCGGCGCCGGAAGGACCAGACTCCGATCTCTTCGTTTACTACTGCAAACACTGTGGCTCTCATGTCCTCATCACTGGTTCGTCCCTCCACTTTCACCCTACTTCCTAGGGTTTAAGTTGTCTCAAAATTAGAGCTAAAACACTTTTAATCGGACTTTCTTAGGGTTTCTAGATACATTGAATGGGTTTGAGGATTGAAAGATTCAATCTTTGATACTCAATTGCTGAAGATTCAGTCTCCACTTTCACCTACTTTCTAGGGTTTAAGTTGTCTCAAAATTAGACTCAAAACACTTTTGAATTGGCTTTTGTTAGGGTTTCTAGACACATTGGATGTGTTTGAGGATTGAAAGATTCAGTCTTTTGATTACTTTTGAACATTATTAAGCCAAAGTAGTTTGCAGCTTTTTAAAGTGGTGAACAGCTTCCTTGACGATGTAATAATGTTTGAGTTTTAGGTTAAACATGAAAGTGCTTTTTAGCTCCAAGCACAGATTTTACATGACTTTAGTTTAGATTGTGAGTATAATAAATCATAATCCTCTTCAGTTCTCATATTGAACGGGATTGAGGATTGAAAGATTCAATCTTTGATTACTTTTGAACATGATTAAGCCAAAGTAGTTTGCAGTTTCTTAAAGTGGTGGACAGTTTCTTCCTGATGTAATGGTTGAGTTTTGGGTTAAACACTAAGCCATGGTAGATGCATGGATTCAGTTTAGATTCTGGATATGTTTTTAATCTGCTAGTGTTCATATGTTTTTTTTATGAACTTCATGTGATAAGATAACGCTTGTTAATACTCTCTGTGGCCTTCTTTTGGTAGCTCATTGCATGTTTTTCATGTAGTTATTTAGGTTTGGTTATGTACTTGAAGAAGTATATTCGCTCAAAAAAAGCTAATAACTTGAGTGGATTTTAGAGTGTTTTCTGATTGAAATGTATTTATATGGTATCCTTGTATAATTTTTCGATTCCTTGACCTGAAAAACACTTTTGAATTGGCTTTTGTTTTGGGTTACTAGATACATTGAATGGGATTGAGAATTGAAAGGTTCAGTCTTTGATTACTTTTGAACATTATTAAGCCATGATAGTTTGCAGCTTTTTAAAGTGGTGGGGACCTTCTTGCTGATGCAAGGCTTGAGTTTAGGTTAACATGAAAGTGTTTTTTTAGATCCAAGCACAGGTTTTACATGAATTCAATGTAGATTCTATGGATGTGTTATGAACTGAATGTGTTTAACACTTGTAACGATCTCTGTGACCTTCTTTTGGCATCTCATTGCATGTTTTGCATGACTTCAGTTTAGATTCTTGGTATGTTTATCTCTGCTAGTGTTCATATTTTTCTATGAACTGAATGTAATAAGATAACGCTTGTAATGCTCTCTATGGCCTTCTTTTGGAATCTCATTGCATATTTTCATGTAACTATATAGGTTTAGTTATGTTCTTGAGATAGTATTTTCAATGAAAAACCTAATAAGTTGTAAATAGCTACGAGTATTTGCTGATTGAAATGTGTGTATGGTATCTTTCTATAGGGCTTGTATACTAAATTGAATTTTGTTTACAAGATACTCAATTGCAGAAGATGCCAAAGAGGAAGACAGACAGATCCAGTGTGCTGGACAAGAAGAAGCACCTTGCTAGGTTGAATGTCAGCGAGGGAGGGAAAGTTTTATTAAAACGGTAAAAAGGTTTTTTTATAATAGGGTTAGTGAACTAATCTTAAGCACACAAAAGTTCTAAAAGTTTCTTTCTATCTAGCGGCGAAGGGAAAATGGAGAGACAGTTTAGAATGAACTGTATTGGTTGTGAGCTTTTCGTTTGTTACCGCGCTGAAGAGAGTCTTGATACAGCTTCCTTCGTTTATATTGTTGATGGAGCACTTAGTGCTGTTGCTGCAGAAACTAACCCACAGGTACTATAGGTTTCTAATAGATGTTTTCACTTGCAATGGATACTAAACATGTTATGTGTGGCGTACAGGATGCACCAGTACCTCCCTGCATTTCACAGATCTCCGGTGGACTTGTTCAGGTTGCAATAGAAGTGGAAGACCGTGCTCAACGTTCAGCCATCACAAGTAAATCATAACCATATGACACCAAATCTAAGTTCTTCTACTATCTTGCAATTGGATTTGCTCATTCTTTTTTTCTCTGTGCAGGAGTAAACGCTGATGATGTTCGTGTTACTATTGCCGCACCTGCAGCTCGTGGGGAAGCTAACAACGAGCTTTTGGAGTTCATGGGAAGGGTATCATAAACATTCCTTTACTAAACCACTTCTTAGAAATTTGTTCTCTAGTCACAAAGTTTCTCACTTAGTATTGTGTCAACAAGACTTTACTCTGTGTTTTAATTTTTTCAGGTGCTTGGTTTAAGGTTAAGCCAGATGACTCTCCAAAGAGGCTGGAATAGCAAATCAAAACTCCTCGTGGTACGTTGACACTTCCTTCGCTTCTCTCAACTTTTAAAACCTTCTCATCAGTTCTGTAGAGAATACTTTATCAAGATTCATCTCTAGAAAAGCTTAGTGGTTATTTGATTAGCTTTAGATAATAGGTTTTGTTTTTAAACTAGTGGCACAAGGTCCTTTAAGAATGGTGATCAAAATTAGCTGTTGCATTGAATAATTTACCAATTTTGGTCTTATATACAACAGGTCGAGGATTTATCTTCTAGACAAGTGTATGAGAAGCTTCTTGAGGCGGTTGCACCCTAAATTATGCGGTTAGTGAAAGACATTAACCGAGAGCTCTGCAACCCTTTTCTTTAACACACTCTGTAACGGGTTTGTCTCAGCGATGAAAAGGGTTAACATTTTACTTGAGAAGAAAGACAAGATTTTACTTTCTCATCACTGTTTTCATCTTTCAAACCATTAGTCATCATAACCTTTTGATACTTTGAGAAATGTTTATCTTTTGAACTAGAAATTGAGAAAAGAAAATTCACTTTTACAATTTGTCACGTTTAATATGGCTAGTCAAATACTTGTGTAACCTTGCTTATTAAATATGACCTACACTGATCTCTAGGTACCTCACTTTTTAATCAAAATCGTTTGTTACTTTTGTTTTGGTCTTTTAAGCAAACCAGTCCAGATCGTTTTGGCATCTCGTTTGTTGCGGTATCGCATTCCATTGCTTATTATATAAGAATAGATGTGAGGACTCAATCGGATGCTGATTTATTATATCTCCCATTTGACACTTGCAGCATAAAGATGACAGTCCAGTGATGTGTGTTGTGTCTTTTTCTATTTGATAAAGGATTATGAAACCAGTTTGTAATCATACATCTTCCCCCATTCTTTTACTATTTAATTTATAAATACATTCACATGCTTCCACTAATTATTTAACATATATAAGTCTATCAAACTGATTACTATATTGCATCCACTTCTACAAGACGACAATGTTGATTTATATATTTTTCTATTCACAAGCAACCTGTGTGAAACTCTGAATCACACATTCATCTATTGATTTGATTTTTAATGTATAAACCCCACATTTTACATATTCTTTTAGATATTTCTAGTAAGGACAAGACTTGATTAATTAAATAGTGATATTAGTGATATCACTAATCAATGTTTTCTCCTCTTAATTTTCACCTTTAGCCCACCAGCCATGTGAGCTGTTAACAGAGGAACAAATACCGGTTGGTTCTTGCAAACCGGTATGATCTCAAACCGACTCAAAACCGAACCAACCACGAATTTCATCTGCATAAACGCCATTTCTTTCCCTATACAAACCCTTGGACCGGCTTGGAAGACAGGGAACTTGAACGAGCTCACACTTTTCAAAACCGGTTTAGTCCCGAAGTTTGGTTCTTCATCAAACCACCGGTTCGGTTTAAACTCGTCCCAGTCTTGACCCCACACTCTCTCCATCCTTCCCATACCGTAAGGGAAGTAAGTAACTTTGTCTCCTTTTCTAACACATGTCCCGTCTGGTAAAACGTCGTCGTTTGCTGCATGTTTTGAGTCCCACGCCACTGGTGGGTAAAGCCTCATTGCTTCGCAGAGACAAGCTTTCGTGTAACTCATCTCTCTCAAATCCTCAAACCCTAACCCTAAAGACTCCTTGTTCTTCACTTCTTCAAGAATCTTCTTCTCCACGTCATCGTTTTCACTCAACAACCAAAAAAGCCACGTCATCGCCGCCGACGTTGTATCTCTTCCCGCCATGATGAAGCTGATCACCGAATCTCTCACGGACTCCTCGTCGTGACCGGCGGCTAGAAACCTGGACAAGAGGTCTTGCTTGTCTGACACGTCACCACCGATGTCGAGACACTTCTTCTTGGCACGGATGATCTTGGAGACGGACACGTGTACAGTCCTGATCGCTTCTCTGAGCCTCCTTTCGCTCCCTACGTTGAGCAAACGCTTCAGCTTCCACACGGCGTTAATCGGCTCAGTCGCGCGGCGAGCGCTGATCGCCGCCGCGACGTCAAAAGCCTCGACAAGATCCGGAACAGGCCGGGTCAAGTCCAAACAGTCCGGATCCCAACCTAAAGAAACTTTGCAAACCACATCGAAGGCGAAACGTTTCAAGATCTCCTGAAGATCCACCGTCTTTCCTCCGCCGCCGTATTCTGCGGCGGAGGAAAGAACGGGAAGGAGTCGGGTTTCGACTTCTTCCCGGAGGATTTCGAAAGTGAATTCCCTAAGGGAACGCATTGTGAACTCGTGGCTGGCGAGTTTCCGCTGCGAGCTCCATAACTCCCCGTCCGAGTTAAAGATACCCCCGCCTAGTAAATCTCCGAGGAGGTCGGTGAATGGTTTGCCTTTAGGGAAGTTGCAAAAGTTTGTTTTGAGAATGTGCTCGACGTTTTCGGGGTTGGCCGTGATGATGGTGCGGCGGTTGAGGAGGAGGTCGATGGTGATGGTTTGAGAGGGAGAGAGACGGAGGAGATCGGTGTACCATTGGAGAAGACGGTGGCGGTTTTTGTTGAAGGAGAGGATTGAGCCAATGAGGGGGTACGACGGTGGGTTGGTTTGTGGTTTTAGGGCTTTTTTTGAACATGAGAAGGTTAGTATAAACGCTAAGGTAAGGAGTAGGGAGAAAAATGCAGTGAGAGCTTCCATTTTGGTATTATTTGTTTCTTCTTTTGGTAATGTTTGAAGTATTGGTTTTGATGTATGATCCTGGTCTCTGTAGGGACTATATATACAGAGAGTCAAAGAGGAATATGACAATCATATGCACAGAAGTTATAAAGAATACAAATTGTGGCTCCGACCATATCAGTCCAAAAAAGCATAATAAAAGATATTTCATATCTTTATATTATTCTTGTTTTGCTCAACTCTTTATATTATGAGTAAATATCATATACCAAGATCCCTTTTTTCAGCAACATTGGTATTTGATACTTTTAAATAAATATGTACTTTATATTGATTAACAGATGAACTAATACAGATATAATTAAAATACAATTTGATATGTCTTAAAAATATTAGTGAAATTCTCTAACTTAAGATAATTTTTTAATATTAACATATAATAAATATACTAATACTATGCTAATAAGAAACTTAGATGGATATTTCAGCAACATATATACAAATTTAAGATAAAGTTCTTAAAATTAAACTTGACAGAAATACTAGTTTATATTGTTGAGAGGCTGTATAAATGTACATGTAAAAACCACTTAAAAGGAATTGTGTCCACAAAATTAGGCTTTGAAACAAGAAAAAATGGTATTCGTCTCTTCGAAACAACCACCTTCTACCAACACTATTACTCTTATCTTCAAACAACTAATAGAAAAAAAAAATTTCATCAAAAATTAGTATCTGCTTGGACAGCAAGAAGCAGGTAAACGAAAATATTGAAACAAATATTCATCAACGTCGACGCAAGAATACAATCACACAATGACCCAAAAAGAGGAGAGATAAATGTAATACTACTATTTAAGTTCAAAAATGCAATACTAATATTTTCCATAATTCAAAAGAAATAAATAGATGTTGACAAGGACAAGCCAGTACCTCACTGCCACTGGTGGCAAATCTCCGGCCGAAATTTATTAAAAAGAAATTATAAACACGGCTCAAACGCTGCATAAGCAAAACTAAACGTTTATTTTGTTTTACTTCTGGAATTTCTACCTTATAACTAATGAAACAACGATGAAAATTTACTATATTAAATTCCATGGTCTCTCATGTTTCAGTTTAATCTCTAATATATGACGCCAAAAGAAGTTTTATTGGGTGTTTACATAGATTGCATATATTAACAAGCAACATAACTTAAAAAACAATCAAATCAATTAGCCAAACTGTAATACTACTATAGATCTTTTGGAATCTCCTAACTTGATAAAACCTAATCTAATGCAAGCCATAGTAGTATTCTAACCATTTGTTATAGACTCCACCACGTAATGACATAAATGAATGATCTGTTGTTTTGTCAATATTCTTAGCAGATCCGGGAGATTTTGTTGAACCGAGGGATCAAATATATAATTGTGTTATGTGCAGTAAACAGTTGTTTAATACATTATGGAACAGATCTATATTGTATATGTGCCATCAGAGACCAGAGAGGCCACACTTAAATGTGTTTTTCTAACTAGAAGAGATTCTCTCGTCTAAGCGAAATTCGGATTCGGAGTGGAAAGCATAAAACCGTTTTTAATTATATCTTTACCCATACTAGAATCATCTCTAAAAAAAGTATTTAAACTCGAATTTTAGTGTTACGTACAGTGATTATTTTATTTAAGACACTAGACAAAAGAGTTGGTTCAACTTTTTATGTACCCACAATATATAAACATGGACGTGTCGGATAAGTGCGAGCACGTTGATGTAATCCAGCCGAATTGTATAAACAAATAATTCCAAGGCATCTAACTGGAGAAGGAAGACATATAAATATACACTTTTTGCGAGACTACAAGCTATCTAAATCATTATTAGGTTTTAAGCACGTGGTTCTCGTGGTCTAAAATTTTTTAGTACTGTAAATCTTTTTGAGCAAAGAGTTAATCTCTTCAGTAAGAAATGGGAGCTACTTCCACTAACTTCTTTTTTTTCTAGACTAGGAGCTCGTCCGACTAATCCCCCTTGGACTAAGGATAAGAGCTATTTGTTTAGTCCCCAGATTATCAAGGTAAGCCAGCTCGTCCTAGGTGACTTTTTTAGCTAAAAGTTCCACTAACTTTAGCTAAAACCCATTGATAACTAATTCATATGCAAAATATGCTAGGTAGATATGAGCCACCACGTTGTGCCAAGAAACGGCGCCGCTTAAAGGATTGGGTCCTTTTTTTTTGTCAACAGATCCATTAATTTGATAAGCATTGCGACAAGTTTCCACTCACTTTTTTGAAACTATTCTGATGTATCTCCCAATATCACTCTCTTCTTGCTTTGATTTGACAGACAATTATTTATATGGACGATAAATACCAAAATATAAGAAGCCATTTTTAAAAATACAACTAAACTGCTTTCCTTCTCTCCCATTTTTCGATCTCACATTTTTTTTGTGACTATCACCGTCCAAAGAGGCTCATGGTTTTGTGCCACATGAAATTTTAAGAATTAATCAAACGTTTTGTTTATCACATATGCTAGACATAAAACTTATTAAAGTAATAGCTGAGTAAGAAAACAATTGTTATCTTCATTCAGTCTTCAACAAAAGCCACCACAAAAGGATTAGTTTGGTAGGTGGAATGGAATTGCTAAATTTTCTTCTAACTTGCAAGTCAAGTCTTGTTTTGCCTTCTTCTTCGTTGCTCGATATTATAGTATCTTTCCCGCAGTCAAAATTACACACATTACTAAAACAATCAATACATGTATTTGTTTAACTAATCATTTGTATTCCCTCCGTTTCTGAATAAGTGTCATTTTGACATTTTTCACATAGATTAAAAAAGTAGTTGAATTATATGTAAATTGTTATTATTATTTTTTTTTTTTTGAAACAATGTAAATTGTTATTAATTATACCTCTTTAACCAATAATATTTTAGAAAAATAGAATTATTTATAAAATCAATGCAGTTTGTAATTAATTGTCAGTTGAAAATAAGTATAATTTGTATTGAAATTGTAAAATAACACTTATTATGAAACAAGAGGGAGTATCATGCAATAGGATTAGCCAAAAAGAGACTGTAAATAAGACAACTTTTCATTAATGATTAACTTTAGAACCTATAGAATTAACTATAGATACATTATTGAATAACATTTATTTAAGGTTTATGGTTTATTTAAAGCTTATGAGTTATTTAAGGTTTAATTGTAGTTATTTAAGAATCATCCCTTTTGGAGGTTGGATCTGACTAGGAAGTTTACGTGAAGACGTTTCATATCAATCCAGAACTCATGGATTCTGTGGCTGTGTTTGATCAGTGATACTCGTGCTTACTTATTTTAACTTTAATGTGACTAACGCATACTACTATTATATCCGCCACACTATCAAAAGTTTCAAATAACATAAGAAGTTGAGCACAAGATATCCAAAACTACACCAATATCCACCATGCCTACAAACTTATCCCATACACGTTTACAAGCTCAAAAACTTCTCATCCTTGTAAGAAACCAATAAAAACAATCTAATCAACTCATTACCAAGAAGCAAAGAGTAAGAGAAAAAGAAACAAAAGCATAAATTAGAATCTGCACATTTAAATTATATAAAGTTAAGCAAGTTTGCAGTTTTTGCTGCAATAACTTATAAGTTAACAGGAGGGGAGAGAATGAAAAGAGTGTTTACGTTGTTGTTGTCTCTCTTCTTAACGAGTAATCACAAACATACATAAGTAAGAATCAGACACATGCAAAAATCAAAACACGGCAGCTTCTGGTTTTTAAAGACAAGGCAGCATCTGAACAAATCCTTTCCAAGCTTCTCAACTGCAAACCATAGTAACAAAAAATACTGAATGTTCTAACACAAGAAACTTAACATTACTATGATGAGCATTTCAGACCAATCAAAAGCAGACACATAACTAGTTTTAAGACAAGGTACATTGCTGTAAGATTAACGAACTTTTACTTCTTTTTTTTTTGTAAGATTAACGAACTTTAACTAACCCTTGGTTATCGAGGTTTCCATGACCACCCCCACCGCTACTCCCTCCACTTCCATAAGACACGTCATCACCACCGCCACCTGAATTCTGCCAAACACTCTGCCACGCCTGAGAAGGAGGCTGAGCATAAACACCCGTCGGATCCATCGCCGGCCTTCCGATCATCATCCCTCCCGGAACAGCCGGCTGACCCATCGGAGGATAATAATAAGGAACGCCGCTCACCGCCGGAGCCGCCACCATACTCCCCAAAGCCGCCTCCTCCTCCTCCTTGATCTCCTCCCTGGGAACGATATCGACGAGAAAATCGAAGATATCGGTCCTGGTGATCGCCGCGGCGATATCGTTCTTCTGGAGCGTACGGCGCTTGTTCTCCTCGGCGTGGAGCCAGGATCTGATGGTAAGCTCGAGGATGAAAAGCTCGCATGCCTTGGCGAAGAGGATCGGGGCCTCGGCGGAGATCATGCGGACGTCCTCGTCGGCTTTCATGATCTTCTTGATGCGTGCGAGGGGGAGCTGGTGGTTCTTGAAATCGTTTACTTGTTCGATCTCTTTGCGTTGGTAGGACCAGAACATTTGGAGGTGTTGGAGTTGTTGTTGGAGGAGGTGGTGGTAAGAGGCTCCTCCTCCTCCGACTCCTACTCCTACACCTCCGGGGATTAAAGGTGTAGATCCGGAAGGAGGAGGAGGGAGTGGGGTTGTGGCGGAGGAAGGAGGGTAGAGGGAGGTAGGTGGTGGTGGTGGTGGTGGTTGCTGGTTGTTGTTGTCCATTGGATCTCTACGGCTTTGTGATTGGATCAGAGAGCGTTTTACAATGTTTTTGAGATATAGTGGATAAGGTGGATAGCGATGTAGCTGATTATTTTTCACTTTCTTTTTATTTGTTTTTGTTTTGTTGACTTATAAACAAATTCGGTTCGGTTTGGTTTTTGGTTGACTTTGAATTTAAAATTTTAGGTTATTTTCTAAAAACTTATGATATCTTTGTTGTAATTTGGTTCTTTTTTATTACATTTGGTTATTTTAGGTTATTTAAAGTTTCGTAAATAAATCTGAAAACCGGAAACCAAAACTAAACCGTACCAAACAGAAGAAAAATGGCTTTTAATATGGTTTTGGTTAATTTTGATTTTTGAATTTTTATGTGAAAATGTCAAAAATTTGAGGTTCCCGTTAGATTTTTATTTACTTTTCTAAAAAACCATGATATTTTACTATACATAGATATTTTATAAATTAATTTTTGATAAATTAATAATTTATATAGATTAATAAATTTTATTAATCCCAGTTTGAATCGGTTTAAAATTTAAAATAAATCGATAAAATAATAAATAATATTTTAGTAAATTTTATATAAATATATGATCACATTAAAACTATAAATTAATAATATATATATGTATCTATATTTTATAAATAAGAAGAACCTATCATTATATTATTTTTTTATATTCACAAGAAAATTATTTTTATATTTTATTAACACTTAATATATTTTTATGACATTTATTTATATTATATTTAAAATCATATTTAAATTTTATGTAATATATATTATATACATCAAATAATATATAAAATTAATATAAATATCAAACTTTAAAAAATAATAGTTAATATCTATATCTTAAAATCAAATATATTTTTCTTATCTTAGAATAAATTTATTTTCGGTTAAACACGGTTAATTCAATTAATTTAGATAATCTTTTTTTTGAAAACCGAACCCAACCCCAAATCAAACCATTTTTTAAATCCCAGCAAACTAAACCGAACTCAAAACCGTAACTAAACACAAATATAATTCAATCAAAACGACGACGTACTAGAGCGTTCTCTGTGCTAGCCTCAAAGACGGAGACGGACACGGCGATGGCGACGACACAGGAGCTCGCGATGGAAGGGGAGAAGCACTTAGAGGAGACAATCGAAGCCGCTTTTCAAATCATCTCCGCCATGAACGATGAGCTCTGCAATCCTTCCTTATGGTCCACCTCAGCAAACGCGGCTAATTCCACTTCTAACTCCAACGGATCGGCTCTCGTTTCACCCGACGCGTCTGGGATCGATGGAGCTGCCTCGCATCACTCTGAATCTGGCGGCGGTGGCGGCGGAGGAGGAGGAAGTGGAAACAGCGCTTTGGATGAAGCTAGTCTTCGTTATAAGAACTCTGTTACTTCTCTTCGTGCTGTTCTTGCTGCCATTCCCAATTCTCAGAAGGTATATTAAGTTTATTCTAATTAATAGGTTTTTGAGGTTTCTTGATTTTGATATGTATAAATTATAATAATAATATTAAGGACAAAAATGTCACACATTGGTAGTTGGAACCAATGTTCTAAAAATCTCTAGGCGATGGTTAGGCCGTTTCGAGAGGATTTTTGTTTAGGCGGAACCAATGTTCTAAAAATCGCTAGGCGATGGTTAGGCCGTTTAGAGAGGAGTTTTGTTTAGGCGGGCGCTTTAGCCGATTGTTTGAACGTCTAGACTGATTTTTTTTGTAAAAAATCGTTTCTTAGCAGCTTGGCCGGTAGTAGGTATTTGGTATAATGCACCTCGTCCCGGACCATAGCAAAGAAAACTATACCCGAAATCTTTTTTATCTGGCATTAACTTTTTGTTTATACCCGATTTGCCGAATAGTCGGACGTGTAGGCTTGGTCTAGACCGATTTTTGGAACGAGACAATACATTTATGACGAAATGATTTTTGGTTGGAATTTCATCTACATTAATATATAATCTAATTTTACAGGCAAAAGTATCTGAAACGGAAAATGGCTTAGAAACACCTGAAGACGAAGAAGAAATCGAAAAGTTGGAGGAGCAAGCCTTGAGTCTTAGGAAGGTAATGTAATGTTTAGATTACATTGCAGCAATTCTTGGTATTGAATTAACAATTAACGTAAATTAATGCAAAGATTTTGAGTTAGGATAAAAGAAAAGTATGATTCACATTAAGTGTTGTAACATTGGCTTATGAAAAAAGTGTCATGTGGTCTGGATTTAAGTATTGAACGTTGGTGGATGCAGGAGATTGCGGAGAAGAATGTTCATGTCAAAGAGCTTATCGACAAATTTCGAGAACTTATAGCAGATATCTCCACATGGCAAAGTCCTTGTTCTGTTTGAGTTTTTTTTTTTCCTTTTTTTTGACATTGGTGTGATCAGTTTAGACAAGATTCTGAAGCCTTTGTTCTTGAATTCCTCATTTGATGTATTATTTTTTAGGTATTTTGTTCTTTTGATTTCATGAATGAATGCAGAAATCCTTAAAAATTAATCGTTAGTATATAATATGTTTTCAGACAAAACCTTTCATGTTTTCTGTTGCATGACACTTTTTTCTTGTTTGTATCGTTATGTAAGAGAATTTAACTGTCTTTTCTTTTTGAGTCAGCGTCCGTATTTTTTGAGACAAACCATAAAACCAAGACCAGCTATTAATGCTGCACCAGCTGCAACTCCACTGTAAGCAGCAGCCCAGGCATCTCTCTCTGGTTCTGATCCTGATCCTGATGCTCTTCTTCTTCCTTTCCCTTCTCTTGAATCATCCAAATGTAATCTCAGACTCTGCAGTTCATAATGGTTCAATCAATTCAAAATCTCATAGAATTCTCATTTGTCTCTTCATTTATGTATTACTTACCTTCCAGCCAATTGATCTGGCATGGTCTATGGCTGCTTGAAGATCACTATCTGAAGCCAACAACACTTTATCATGGTCTTCGTCTTCATACTGCAGATTATAACCATCATTGTAACGTTTCAGGTTGAATCATTCTTTCTGTAAAAATGTTAATTACATACCAAAATTTGAGGTAGGTTGTCTGGATCAATGTCATTCCCTATTCTCTGAAGGATCGCTGTTATCACTTCTGTCAAACTACGAGTGTCTGCAATTTAAGAACCAATCCATATGAGTACACACACAAGGTTGAAACTGTTTGCTAAATGAACAGGGACAAAGATTTAGCTTACCACTTATGAACCTGTGCATTCTACCCTTCTTGTCTTCGATCTTGAAAGAAAACATATATGCAAAAGGTAACGATTTCCCTGTCTCAGCTTCAGAAGCAACTTTCAAGGAGCTCTCACTGGAAAAAATGGTTCCCATGTTGCCAACAAAGTTAGCAAAAACCAAAGCTAAAGCTTAATACTACAGTGATATTGAGCAAAGTCAGGGTAATGAATGACCTTCTCGTGTCATCATCATCCTCATTAGGAGACAATGCCATTGCCGAATCCCAAAACTTTTGCATCATTGTGGTTGTCGCCTCATTACCTACTCCGGCAGTAGTTCCAGCCTGATCACATCAAAGAACATCTACAATTAAAAACACATCTTGCTAAAAGAGAGAACACTTGTTTTGTTATAATCAGAACAAATCTAAGATACGAGAACTTACAGTGGCGACAGCAGCGTGAGTTATATGGATTACATCAACAATTGCAACTACATCTCCATCTGCAATTACAAAACCCTTTTTGTTATCTACATACGTTTTAGCTAATTTGGTTTTCACAAGACTTGCAATCCAAAATGTAACAGAATTTTTACCTTTTTCCGTAGTAACAGGAAGGTGTAAAAATTTTCCCTCGTGCATGATGTGCAGAGCTTCAACTATTGGTGTGTCAACTGTGGTAGATTCTGGATTCTGTGTCATAACCTATGCAGCATTCAAGAATAAAAACAAATGAATAAACCCAACTGAAAATAGGAATCTAGGATGGTTGAAAATTTCATTCAAAACTTCAAAACTAAATACTTGAATAACTCTATCTTTTTTATCAAAAAAAAGGAATAACTCTATATATCCTACCTGTTCCACAGTAGTCTCAGATGGAGAAAGATTTTCAGCCACAACACGCATCAGTATATCCTTGGAACTAGATAGAAAACAAAAACTCTTAGAAGTTAGTGATAAGTATTCACAAAAAAACAAAACAAGTTCAATCACAGCATATTCTAGTTAGCAAGTTAGTTGGAGTCAAGAATGCAAACAAATACATAATTAAACAGAAGTGTTAGGCATCAGGCAGTTTTAATTAGGTAGATGAAACATTAGGCAAAATTTTCAATGCTTTTAGAAAACTCACGTAAATATCCCTCGAAGCTTATCATCAATCATCACGACTGCACAGCTTGATTGAAACTCAACCATCTTCTTTGTTACACTCAACACTGTATCTGTTGGTGAGACTTTCAAAACCCTGAACAAAAAAAAACAGTGTTAATTAACTTCAAACAACATAATTGTTAATTATATTTTGATTAGAAAAAAAAAGAGAGTACCCTACTTTGTATCATTTGGTATAATTGTTGATAAAGAAGGTCTAAACATCCTGTCTCGTAGCGTTTCAATGAAAGTGTTTGGAACTACATCCATGAAAAAAAAATACATTCAAAAATCTGATAAAAATAAAAGGCCAATGAGAAAGGTTCAGTGCCTGGCCTAACCTGAAGTGTTAGTTCCCCAACTTTTCTCAACACCTTCAACGGCAGCAGCAATTGCCTTACCTTTCTCAGCTGCTCTCTCCATACGAGCAATCGCATCATACAGACACTTTGCTATATCTAGTACAGCAATCACTTCCCCCTTTTCAACAACAGGTAGATGTCTGAACTTTCCTGGAGGATTAATACATACACAAGAAATAGAATGAAAAGAAAAATCATTACGTTTCTCTAACTTTATACAAAACACACAAACCTAGGACCATCTTTTGAAGGGCTTCAACAGCAAGTGTTTCCGAGAGAACGAACACAGGGTTCCTTGTCATAACCTTGGAAACAGGTGTTTCCTCCACATTAACTTCCTGTGAGATCACTCTTGTAGCTATGTCCTGAAATACCCCCCCCCAATTAAAAAATTGCATAGGATCAACAAGTAGTGTCAGGACCGGCCCTGAGATTTAGGAGGTTATAGGCGTATATTAAAAAATTCATCTAATTTTTTAAACAATTTTTGGGGGTCTACAAAAAAAATTTCCAAAGAGACCTAAAGCCAATGTTTCATTCGCCTTTGTCAAGGCGGCACTGAGTAATGTTTAAACAAGCTTTGTACCTTATCAGTAAGAATGCCACAAAGCATTTCATTAGAGTCAGTCAACAACAAAGCAGCAACTTTGCGAGAAGCCATTCTTTTACAAGCTTCATAAATAGTCGTTGTTGCAGGTACTGTAAGGGCTTTCGATAGCCTTAAACGTTTAACAGTTCGCTCTCCTCCTGTAAAGCCCCTGCGTCCCATATCCAAAATCACAATAGCTTCAGTGGAATAAAACAAACAACAACTAGGGTTACTTTACTTGTTCCTAAAGGCACCCAAAGAAACCAACATAACAAAAGATAATAGAGACGAGATTGAGACTTACCTAGGCGAACGTGAAATGGAAAGAGATCTCCGACCAGCGTCGAGACCTTGTTCGTTTATATCCATAGATTTCTTCCTCTGTAATGAGGAAGTCGTTATGGATAAACTCCGTCTTGGCCCGCCTTGGTTAGACATTTCTGTTTGTAGAATAAATTTAGAAGAGATCAAACGCTTACGAAAAATCTCGATTTGATTAGATTTTGAATAAGGAAAGTCTTGTGAAAATCGTTACAAATCTAGCAAACGAGAAAAGAATAAACACAGAGAAATCATTACAAAACAGAAAAGACAAACTTGTGATATGAAATGCTGATGGAGTTGAGAATTACGATGATCTTTTTCTCGATCGTTTGTGACAATTGATAACGGAGACGACGAAACGATTTGTGAAAAGAGGAGATTCCTCCCGGGAAAATGATTTTTGTGTAGAACGTATCTGGCTTCTGTGCAAATTAGGCTCATCTGGGCTAATATTATTTCATTTCTTTTATCTTTTGTAATTTACAATCCTATCCTCCAGTTAATGACTATTGGTTTCCTTTTCGCAAAGGATGTTATCGTCATTATTTATTTATGGTGTTATTACTAACTAGTTTAACTTTTTTGTTTGGCCTAAATTGTAGTATTTGTCAATCAATACCATTAAAACAAAATAATTTCTTTTAATAAATGATTTATGTTTTCTTAAATTACCCTTAATTTTATGAACAAATTTAATTTTTCATTAATAGTATTTTAGTTTTAATGGGATGATTCTCTTTCAAATTTTATAAAAAAAATTCTTGCAAAAATATAATCTTTTTGCAGGTCAGGTGGCTCAAATTTTCCAGTCGAAAAAAATGACTTAACCCGCTGCAGAGCGGGTTGGACGGGACGGGTCGAACTGAGCGATTGAAATTTTATAACTAGATGATTTTACGAATTAATCACAAAACTAAAAAAATTGGACTATTTAATTGTTAAATATGCAATTTTTTCAAGTGCACATTTTATGTACAACACATCGTTAACTTATAGAAACATAAAAAAAGTTGTCTGAGACATTATAAAAAAAAAATTTTATACCTGCATAATAACTTGATTTTAATTCTGTAGATAAAACAACAAAAATAGTATCCGCGTCTTTTAAACGTGGATCAAAAATCTAGTTTGAGATTAAGACATAATTTAAAGGTATTTTTTACCTAAAACAGATAAAAAATCTATATTCTACTTCATTTTAAATAATGTATCAAACAATGTCAAAAACAAACAAAAAAAATGTAACAAACAAATAACTTGTAAATATTAGAAAATCACTCTGGTATATATGTGCCGCAGTAATTTAAGAAAAGAATTATATAATGGGCCAAAAAGCCGATGTCTAACGAATCTGTTAAAAAGCCCACAGGCGGAAGAGCACACAATTTAAAATATATATTTCCACGTGGATTCCAAGAACTGGTTGATTGAATCACCACACCATTTACTTTTCACATCACACGAGAAGCTTCGTCTCTAACAAAAACAAGTCAAACTCCAGCTCCTTCTCCATTCTCTCTCTCTCTCTCGTTTCACTTTCTTCTCTCTCTATAAAACGAGTAGCATGGCGGATTGGGGACCAGTTCTGATCGCAGTGATCCTGTTCGTACTCCTAACACCGGGACTTCTTTTCCAGATTCCGGCGGGAGGCAGAGTGGTGGAGTTCGGGAATATGCAGACGAGCGGCGCGTCGATTCTCGTCCACGCTATCATCTTCTTTGGTCTCATCACTATCTTCACCATCGCCATCAACGTCCACATCTATTCCGGTTAAACTGTCTTTAGCTTATTATTATTTGGTTTACTGAAAAAACAACCTTTTCTTTTCTCCGGTTCAGAAAATTTATGTAAGATCTAAAAAAAATTCGGATTTTGTGAGTTGTAATCAAAATTTTATTATGAATATTAAAATCCATCTTGTTCTTGTATCAGTTTATTTGGGATATGGTTCTAATTTGATTCCATAAAAAAAAAATTCAACAATCACAATCAACTTCATAATGATCAAAACCACCAACCAGAATGATTTCAGGATCTTTCAAAACGACGCCGTGACAGTTATTACTGGGCTTTTTGGAATAGGGTCCATTAAAGCCTAATCTGTGTCACGTTCAATTTCATCTGAATCCCTCGACGACCACATTGGCCCTGTTCGTTTAGGTATCGTGTGACATGCAAATAAGATGATGTTCGATAGACTTGCGATCAGTCGCATGTTGCAGATTACGTGACAGCAAAACGAACAACGACTTGCAACTGATTGTAGGTTGCATGTCACAGATTGCAGATCACGCGATAAGTAAACAAATAACCATAATGTCAAATCACCATCAACCAGAATGATTTTAGGCTCGCAAAAGCGATATCGTATAGGGCTTACTGTAATAAGGCCCATTAAAGCCCAATCAGCAACTCGTTCTGTTCCATCTGAACCTCTCTCGACAATCACATTTCGTCTTCGCAAAATCCATATCCGTCACTACTTCGCTACAGAAGCGGCGGTGGCGATAAATTCAGAGGCGCCGAAGCCAAAACCGACGGTGTTGCCGTGGCAGAGACAGATCATTCCCTTGGAGCAGTGGCTTCCGAAGGTAGCCGTTGATGCCTACGTGGCGCCCAACGTGGTTTTAGCAGGTTCGGTCACGGTATGGGACGGCTCTTCCGTCTGGAACAGCGCCGTTTTGCGTGGGGATCTCAATAAAATCACTGTAGGATTCTGCTCGAATGTGCAGGAACGGTGCGCTGTACATGCCGCTCGTCCCCAACAGGTTACTATTCACTCTATTTTTCAGATACTTTATGTTATGTTTTAATCAGTTTCTTGTATGGAATCAAAATAGGAATCAAGAATCTCACTGGTGATATGTTCTTGAGCTTAGTAATATCTAGAGTTTAATGGATTAGCACACATTGTAAATGCCACACATGATCTTCTTTGTGTAGCAGTGGGAACAATGCTATGATGATTAAGCTAAGTCACATTGATGGAAGCTATCATTCAACATGATAACATTGCGTCTATACAATCATAAAACAATAAGTCTTCTTGTTAAGGGCCAAGCGTGTCTTGGTTGTGTATACTATTATACACATAATTCTTGAGAAATTGCTTGAAATGCATAAGTTAGATACCATTTTTCAAAAATACACTCAATCAAAAATATTATAATATTAGATTTAGGGGTTTATTGATTATTTTTTAGGGTTTAGTATTTAGGTGGCGTAATTGAGTTTATAAACTTTTATAAATAATTCTTTAACGTTTAATGATTTAAGAGATTTTGACAAAAGAAAAATGATTAAGAATTATTTATAAAAGTTTATAAACTCCCACAACCTAAATACTAAAACATTAAATAATTAAAGAGACTATTGACAAAAAAAAAAAATTAAGAGAGCTAGATTTGTTTTATTATCACAAGCCTCAGGTATTTATGAAAATGGTTATCCTTGAATTTGAAAAGTAAATATCATGCTAAAATTAAAGTTCCAACCCGCGCAAGTGGGCTAGTGGTGGGACGATGTCCAGCTGAGAGAGCTTTGGCCTCAATATTCTGGCTTCGAATCCCTACAGCTGCAAACATTTACCCGGGCCACGAGGGTTTTCACATGGGTTGCTCTCGCCCTCCAGACCATTTCGCGTAACCAGAGACCCTTAAGTGGAGGCTTAAAAATCCTTTAATGGCATGGGCTTAGGCTCGGTGGGCTAGTCGATCACGCTTAGTGGTCGTATACTGGATTATAAAAAAAAAATTAAAATTCCTCCATAATTCTTTACACTTTTCTGCGGTTCTGGCTTTTGATATGATAGATTCAGATTTTAATGCTAGGGGTTACTGTTTGTTTTGAAATTTCAGGATTACCAGCAGAGACGTTGATCGACAGGTACGTGACATTAGGTGCATACAGTCTTCTGAGATCATGTACCATCGAACCAGAGTGCATCATCGGGCAACACTCAATACTAAGGTTCACTGGTCGAGACCCGTTCAATCCTTGAAGCTGGTTCTGTCGTGCCACCAGGAAGAAGGATCCCATCAGGTGAACTATGGGGAGGCAATCCAGCTAGATTCATAAGAACTCTAACCAACGAAGAAACCTTAGAGATTCCTAAACTCGCTGTAGCCATCAACCACTTAAGCGGAGATTACTTCTCATTATTGCCTTACTCTACTGTCTACTTAGAGGTAGAGAAGTTCAAAAAGTACCTTGGTATCACTGTTTAGAGTTTCGTACATCTCTAATCCTCAAAGCTTCTCTTGTGTGTTTCGTGTGCTTTACCTATATATAGTGTAGCATAAGAACATCAAAACATTCAAACCCTTTGTCTTCTCATTTTTTTTTGGTTTTATAAGATTCAAATTTTAAACTGATTTTTACTGGATAATGCCTCCATGATAAACGCAAACTATATATATACATTATTCTCACACACCATACATAAGTATAAAACATTCATTATGTCTATTTTAGCTGAAGTAAATTATTCTCACACACCATATATAAGTTTATAACATTCACAATGCCTTATAAGATAAGACTAATCAAGATTCATGCTTGTCTTCTTATAAGACATAACCAGATGGACTGTATTAAAGGGCTGCATGTTGAACCGATTCTCATCACTCTGCCACTCATCTTCCTCATCCAAAACGGGAGAACGTCCGATAGGCTCAAAGCAAAACGTTCCCGTGAACGGAACACCAGGAAAATTCTCATAAAACGGCATGCAGTCCGTAATCGAATTCCCAAAATACTTGTCTCCACGGTTCGAGCTAGCAAACATGAACCCTCCAAACACTTTCTCCCTGTTTGTTCGGCTACTCGAAACCAACTGACCATAAGCTCCACGAGGCGGTGGTTCGACGAGATGATGAAACCGGTTGTAAACATCGTTGCTAGAAGCTATTGCAGTGTCCATATCTGAGTGATAAAACATACAAATATCTCCTGGATTTATACCGGTTCCCGCGACGCTGAACATTATCTGTTGTGTCCTGTTTACATCATTCATAGTTAAGTAACAAAATAAAATCATAAAACATACAAATATCTTACCCAATAACTTCATAAAACTCTGTAAATTTTATGGATGGTCCTCCATCTAGCGGTTCGGTTTCTTTTGTAACACCGATATATAGAAAATACGGTTTATCTGTAATCTGAAACATCATTTGTGAATCTTATCGCAGATTATATGCATATATGCAAAAAATTGCATTAAACTTAATTAGAGATAATTACCAGTGAATGAAGGGAGAGAATGAGATTATAAGCATCAAGTGGCCATACTTCGCCTTGTGTTCTAGCGATTAACCATGTTGTTTTCTCCTCGTGCACCGACACGTCGAGTATCTCTATTTTTGGACCAATTGGGATTATTCCACTTGATATCCCCACGTGAAATTTGATTTCCACTGCATGCAACAGATCATTTATTTATATACACCAAAATAAATAGAGTTCTTTTTTAAAAAAAAAACTTAATTTAAATAGAGTTTTACGGTTATCGAATGCATGCAACTAGTATTTTTAGTATGTGTAATTTCTTTAAGTTTGTACTCTTTTCTTAAGTTAAATTTTCTGCTAAGAACTTGTGTCTACCTTCATTGTTGTTTAGGTTATCTCTGGCGAAAACAAGTGCGACCGCGTCTACGGTGTAAAAACGGGTATCAATATTGTCAACTTCAGCATTGGTACAAACGAAATAGTTGTGCGCATCACCGATCATAACGGTTTCTCTTGATATCTTTGAATCTACATAACAAGAAGAAGAAAAAACCAACTAAACCGGTTTATGAACTATGTTTTTTTTTTTTTTTTTTTTTTTGCTAAAAGGTTTATGAACTATGTTGCTGATATAGTTATGAAATCTTACCAATTTCGGCAAGGATAGGTTTCAGATCGCTACAATGGTCCTAGAAGAAAAAAAAACTTTGAAGTTAGTTCCAGTAAATGATATGTATCTGGTTAAAACAAAACCTAATAACCGGTTTTCAACTGATTCAAAACCGAGTCTGTCAACCCTAACCAAACTGAATAAAGAAATTTTTTTAAAAAAGAAGAATTCTCACCCCAAACAGCATTATACCAACCGGGTCCGGGTTTGTATTACCGGAGACCAAAACCGTGAAATCTCTTACGTCTGAAATGAATTCGTCGATCATCGGCACTTGTGGATCCTAAACAATGACACAAATAGGTACCATTTTGACCCCTCAAATCAAATAAAGTAAAAGAAACTCTAATTTTAGATTTATAAACATGAACCAAATGAAATAGAAAAAAGAAAAACATACTGTTTTGGTATGTAGGAGAGGGATAACATTGATTTTCAAACCGGGTACGAACCCAATTACCACAGTGACTCCTAGGTACATGTCATCGTCCGTAACTACTGCATCTTCATCATCTTCCCATTTCATCTATCAAAAATTAATTAAGAAAATTATAGAGAATTAATGGTTAAATTTTATATAGTAATGCTAAAAATATTATGGATTTAATTTACCTCGTCGAGTTCATTAGTAATCGAATCTGCATCGATGGTTCCAAGGGAAGCAGTCGTAATTAGGATCGTATTTGCACCGATTTTACTTGCAATCTGATTACGGTTGAATAAGTAAACACTAAAAGTTAACTATTCTTTCTTTTTTATTTTCTAACATTTGAAGATTCAATTATGCAATGGAATTAGTTACCCGGTTATGGATCTCTTCTATGGGAAAATGTAAACCGACAAAAGCAATTGCAAAATGTGGCCGGATTGGTTTGGATAAGGCCATTTCAAGGGCTTCATCCACGGCGATCTATACAAGGTGTTTATAATGTTACAACATCTAGTAAAAACAACAATGATATCCACACAATAATTATGCAATAACTATGATTTTTTTTACTTATTCAAGAAATCCTGTAAAACATAGATTATATATTCGAATCTAAGAAAACATTGATTATAAATACAAAATTTTTAATATTTATTTTTTACCTCGGGAGATTCGGCAAGAGAAAGACCGGAAGTAAGTCGTGGTCGCGAAAGAATACGATCAGAAACTCTATTCCATAAATGGCTTACACAAGCAGCAGCCGCAAATGGTTTAGCCGGAAGTCTTGACATAATATTAGTTAAAATATCATCGGATACGCTGTAAAAGTTACTCATGGCTAAAACTTGTGTTGCGATTTAGCCAAGAGTAGCAGTCGATATATAAGCATGTCTAGATGATCTTTAAAAAAAAATATTTATTTAATGACAACAATAAAGTAGTTATTATTATATTAAAAGTGGTTTTATTTCTATTATTGCAAGAATATCTTATTATGAATTCAAATAATATACAATCAGGAAATTTCATACTATTTTATCAGTTTTATTATGAATTATTAACATGAATAAATAGATAACATATTACTAATAAATTTTGTTAGATGTTCTAAAAAGAAAGATAATCTTTAACTAAAGAAACCCACTATAAATATTGCAATGCACTGTATGAGTTTTATTTTGAAAATAGAAGATTTTGGTGAACTGTAATTGAAATTTACAAACATTGTCTATATAGCTAATTAGAATTATTAAATATACATGCAGCAGAAATTAATTTTAAGGCCTTGTATTCTTTTAATTGCACTTCAAAGTGGTAGGAGATATTTAATAAAATAAATTATCAGACAAAAATTCAGCAAAAAATATAATAGGTTTTAAATCCCAAATAATCTAATGAGATAAATTTAAATAAAATTTTTAAGTGTTGCTCAAGTAATCTTCAATTATTAAAATATTTTTATGAAAATATTTTATCACCAATTAACCCCTAAAAGACAAGAAAAAATTTGTTTTTGGTTGTTAATTAAGAACTAAATGCATAAACTAAAAAAAATTATAAGTACAATATAAAAAACCAGTCATTATATTTACTGACATGTTCTTATATTTTTTTGGTATAATATTGTATTTGAATATTTGAAATATGTATATATATATATCTATATATATATATATATATATTATGGTTTATTTAAAGCTAAAATGACAGATTTTTTTTTTTGTCAACAAGCTAAAATGACAGATTATTATTAGACATTGTTGTCTTCTAAATATTACGCATTTTTAGTTATTGAAATGATATTAGTAATATAACACATATATATTCATTGATGTTGTTAGGTAATTCATATAGTTTGTATAATTCTTAACACAATAATTTGTTATATGTGTAGGTATATATCGCATATTATTTTTATAACTAGCAAACAACTTCCTATAAAAAAATCTATCCCAAAAGGTTTGAGTTTCAATTCCTCGAAAAATGAATTATGCAGAATATTAGAGAAAATATTTATAAGAAATCTTCCGCATCATGAAAAATGAAGTACCGTCAAGAATGGATTTCATAGGACGGTTCATGGTAATACAGTAATACGTGAATCTTCATAAAACGGGTATAATTGTGATTTGTAATAGCGTTTATGTAATTTTTCTTTTAGTTAATGTCAAAAAGAAATTTTTTTTACTCCAACTTCGATTTTTGAAGATTATTATTTACACTCAGAATACAACTATAATTTCAAGTTTGAACCCAAGTAATTTGTAAAAAAAAAAATTTGAAACTGAATAGTTTCTTCAGAAAATGAATTTATTACATTTTAGGGAAAATTTCATAAGAATACTCCACCTAAATTTATTTAATACTCAATTTTTTTCGATGTCCAGTTTAATACTCCAACTAATTATTTTATCCATTTTAATGCACAAACTTTTATAAATATTCCCATTTTTATGCTCAAATTTTGTTTATTTTAATTAACAATACTAATAAGTATCCAATAAAATTTTAAAATCTCTAAATTTTATAGAAAAAGGAGTTTTATTATATGTCTGAGAAATGAAATTAAATAGTTTTTGTATAATCTTAAGTTTGTAATAAGTTTTTTAAAGTTTTATATATTAAATTTAGTTTGTTTTTTGAAATAAAAAGTAAAAAAAAAATCCAAATTATTTTTTTTAAACATTAAATTTTCTCGAGAGTTTATTTACCTTCTATCTAAAATCTTCAAGTAAACTTAGAAAATTAAATATTTTGTCTTAGATTTTGGAGATTATTTAAAATTTCGTTTGAAACTTGTTAGTATTGTTAGTTAAAATAAACAAAGTTTGGATATTAAAATGGGCACAATTATAAAAGTTTGTGTATTAAAATGGGCAAAATTATTAGTTCAAGTACTAAACTGGATAAAGAAAAAGTTTGGTTATTAAAAAACATATATAATAGAATTTAGTTGGGATATTTATATGAAATGTTCCCTACATTTTATCTCCATAGCTTATGCCTTCTACTTAAAAGTTTTTTATGTGTGTTTAAAACATACTTTAAGTTTCAAGTTTCAGGTTAAAATTCCTAAACTGGATAGTGCAATTGCAAAACTTGAAAGGCAAAAGGTCGAGTGGCTAATTATAAATCAAACTAGATTAAACCGGGTTTTCTTTATTCAAGCATCATATACTCGGATCCTTTAATCAGTTATATATTATCTATAGTTTTCGTAGATTATATTTGTATTGGAAACTTACTCGGAACATCATTGACAAAACAAAAGAAATGAAGGAATCCACAGATTATGAGATAAGAAATCTTATCTTGAATAGTCACAATGTACTTGTTTTCGATGCAGACACAAAGTACCTTTGGTTTTGTTCATTATATCTTTATAGCTCTTTTCTTTTCCTGAAAATATGAAGAATCTTTTGCAATCTCAAACACTTGTTCATCAGTGTTATAATTTTCTTTCGGATGTGTACTGATCTTCTTTAGGCGTTACAAAAAGCGACCAGCCTCGTTAGTGTGCATGGTGGATTAGCGAATGGTAACCTTTCATTATACTTATCCAACTTCAAATTTGGTGATCTCCTATGCTATGCTGTAAAAAGAGAACCATACATACTAATGTTTGGTTTATGATACACACTTTCAGATATTTGATCATTTTGGTTTGTAACTTGAAAACAAAGGTCGTTAGAGTTTGATTATAGAACTCAAAAGTCTATATAATGTTTTGAATACTTTATTATTGATTTTAACAACAAATTATTTGGAAGAATAATTATTAATCAAATAAATGTGACTGATGCTATTTACCATTAGATGTTTTATTTCTCCTCTTTTTAACACTGGATAACAATTATATCATCATATAATCCTTAATTCTATTACATATGATGATCAACTATTTGTAACATATGCGATCTTGATGAACAACTCCACGGATAATTCCACGATGAAGCTCTCCCCGTAACACTTGGATCGACAAACAGTTATGCATGTACGATATCCTCGATAGACATACCTACTCTGCAACAGACGACCACAACGAACGGTTCTGCCTGTAATACTTTAGAACCTCTGATAAGCTTGCATTCTATAATCTGCAAGAAATCTATCCTCTTTATAATTTATACATCGGGGCTTTATTTGTATGAAAAATGTTTGTCAAGTCATCCGCATATACGAAGCATTTTTCTCCTTTTTCGTACTCATTTAAAGTGAGTATAACATTTTGAAAGTTACCTTTCAAATGTTTCGACATACAGTTAAAATAGTCTTTTCAGATTGGTGGTGTCATACTTGTATCGTAATAGGTAATAAGAACATGAAATAATTGGTGGGTGGGTAACATATACAGAGACGATGATTTATACATAATTTGGCGTGAGAGAAACCAAAGGCTTCACAATGGAACATCAACACCATCGCAAGCAGCCTTCAAAGAAATTGACAGACAGATTAGGATTCAAACACCTTATGAGATTATGGCTGAAACATGAATAGAGGCTCACCAAAGACCCCTTTAGGTTTAATATAAGCTCTCCCCTGTTTTTTTTTTTTTTTTGGCTTGGGATTGCTTCTAGCCTCTAACTTTTGTACTAGTACAAACTCACTCATTTTGATTAATGAAATTCACATTCTTATAAAAAAAAGATGAGATTCTAAAATGACAACAGTGAACAAGAAGCCGATAAGTTATATTGTCATTTCAGATGAAGAATACATCATATATTCTAAAATGACTACTTCAAAAAATTAATACACACTTATGCATGTAACTACAATGAGCTAATTTAACAAATAAAACTTCCAATTAGTTCAGTTTTATTTTACTTTTATTTCGATATATGTCACGTCAAAAAAATTGATTTGTGGTTTCATGATAAAGTTTAAGATGTTTGTAGATGCTTTCTCTATATTTTATTTTTTAACCATGATAACAATTTAGCAGGACGTCATGTGTTATGTTTTGGAAAAAAAACATGGTAAGAGTATATTTTCAAACATAAAATAGAAAAAAAGCAGAAAAAGACGAACAACAATTATAGCTTTTCAGAAATTGAGTAATCAAGAGAGTATAGGTTTTTAATTCTATAAGTTATAATGTCCTTCGTTTTTTTAATGTAATATTTATGTTCTGTAACTTGAATATCATAGCATTAACACCATGTGATTGTACAGTCTTTAATACTGTGAAACCACATTTTTAAGAGAATCACCCATATCTACTAAAGAATGCCAAAAAAAAACTATATCTACTGTATATAGTAACTGATCCATGCCACTTTTGAACTAATCTAATAGATTTCTTACCACGGTCGACTTTTGTTTCTGGTAAAAAGGTAATTAGGTAATATTAATTACTTTATTAGACTCTTGTCAACGCAAAACTTGCACCGTTAAGTTCGAGGTAGGAAGAACGCAAGAATGGTGTGAAAAAAAAAAAAACAAAAAACAAGAGGCAACAGAAACGGCCGTTACTTATTAGTATTACTGGCGTATCTGCGTCAGCTCTTGGATTCGTTTTCCTCTGCTAAAAGCATTTAATTTTACCAGATTCATCATTTATATCACTGCCAAATAAGTGCGACAAAATCTCAAATCGTAACAGAACTATTTTATTTCATCAAATCGGATATATTAAAAATATAACCATACCGGTTCTACTCATACCAATTGAGATATTGACGATCAATAATAGGTTAATAGCTAATGGTATTTCTACTATTTTATCAGCCTTACTAACTTAACGTCTACCAATAAAGTTATATATTTTATAGTTATCTATATTTTTTTCTTTTTCAATCATACAATAAGTTTAGCAATTGCACGAATTTCTTTGTCGCTGTTTATATATTTATGTAACTGTTTCAACGTTCAGCAGTGTTTTGTCCTGTGAAATTATATTTTTTTCATGATTTGTAACGTATCTCAATTTCACGTGCTCTACTGCTCTTTGATTTGTTTACTATCATTAGATTTATAAAAAGAAACAAAGAAAAAAAGGAAAAGAAACGTATATAAGATAGATACTCTTTTTTAAGTAGAGAAAAAGAGAAGAATCCAACTCGGCAACGTCCATGTGTAACCCTCGGTAATACAAAACTTTGTCCCACAGTGCGATCCAAAGTTCATGCACCACGCGTGTGAAGTCTTACTTGGCGCCACGTCAGTATTCTATGCATGTGGATGTTGAGGTGATAATATTATCATCCTCTCTCGATCACTTCTTAAACCCTACTCAGATCATTACTAGCAGTGTAGATATATGAACTAAAGTTTACATATACAATCTCAAGGGGTTATTTGTTAAACATAAAAAATAAAAAACTAGTTTTATAGAAAATTTTGGTTGATTTGTGAATTTTAGGGGTTTTTTAGTTATTGAATGCAATTTCTGATCTCAAAATGAGATTTTGGTTTAAAAACGATTTGTTTGAATAATACTGTTTGCAGACAATGAGAACATCGCATTCTGAGAAACACGTATATTATATAGTACGGGATGAATTGATGACACCTCTAGAATATACTAAGCTGTAGCTATTTGTGAAAAACTGCAATTTCGTATATTTGGTTGTGCATGACCCCCTAGATGTCAAGGTAAAACAACACACATTTGATTTTAACTTTGACTAAGATAACCAATTAACTGTCCTCGCTTACTTTTATGTAACTGAAGTTCACCTAACTGGCTCATTACTACTTATGACTTAATTAGAGTAAAAGTTATCAAGTTTTTTGGACCTAGAAAAAGGAGAGACTAAGCTATCAAGCATTTAATTTCCCTTTAATTTCTCATCGTTTTGAAAAAAAATAAACGATCACAAAACTGAGTAAACTCTGTAGTTGAGTTAAGAAATCAATTTATTCAATTTTTTTAACTATCTGGTGGAGGAAAGATTTTTGTACTGTAAGTTGAGGTAAAGAAATCAAATTGCCAAACATACCTCTAGGTCAATTTAGAATGTAAAATAACTTCACTGAACAAATAAATACAGAGTATACATAAGCTTATGGAAACATATATATTTCTTTTTTATTATACACAGTTTTTCCAAAGGTTTCCCAGATCCAAGGGACTAATCTATGTTGCTGCACCCCGAATGTGAAATTGTACTGACCAGAGCGAGTCGAACCCAGATGGCCGTACCTGCAGCTGCATGCCGTTTACCACCAGATTAACTCGTCTGGTTTATGGAAACATATCTTTACACTATAGTCTGGATTTCAACGGTTTACTCCAAAAAGATAAGAATTATTAGTCTGAAAACACTATACAATACTGTTGAATTTTATTGATTTATTGTGTGTGTGTGCGCCATATGTATTAAGGGATTAAGGGTAAACATGTTTCCATTATACTATGTCATCGTTGTTCTCCCATTTGTAGATTGAATTTAAAAGATAAGGTCGTTGGCACTAAAATAGGAGCTCATTGGCACTTGAGGTTTAGCAACAACACCGGCCCGTAGGTATTAGTTGTTACTTATCACTAATGTCGTGTTTGATCACGTCCATGGACATCTCATGTTGATAACATGCATTTTATTCCATTAGAATAGGAAGTGCTCTGGAAAATGAAAGAACAATGTTTTTTTTTATAATTTGCATTAGGTACTTAGGTAGATATTAGCACAGAAGTTGTCTTATAAATGTTTCTTAAAATGCGTGGGTTATTTCTCTCTAATTCGTAACAATACAAACTTATGAAGCTATTGTGAAAAACAATCCATGATTGAACTTCTTTTTGATCCATTGTTTAGAAATAATTGATTGGAAATATAATGAAAACGTGGAAGGATAAATGGACTTATTAGAACCTTTTTCTCAATGTTAATTATATATCAAACCAGGAGAAGTTAGTTCTGGTGATAAAGAAATTGCAACTGTAATCACCATCATCCACATTTAAAGAAATATTTTAAGCCAAAAATGGTATTAGTACCAACTAATTCCGAATTTGGAAAAAAGGTTTAGACCATGATTAACCCGGAGTTCTTATAGTGGTTGCTTAGCAGAAGTTGGAAATTTGTTTCTTAACTTTTAACTAAAAAAATCTAAGAACCGATTCTTAAAATCTCTATCTAAGAACCGGTTCTTAACATTTTTAGTTAAAAGTTAAAGAAACAGTTTTTTAACTTCTACTAAGAACCTCATCATAAGAATCTTGGAATCTTGGGTTAATGCTCTTAGACACCTTCTAATATACAAAAAAAAGTTATATATCAATCAAGATAAAATTTTAAATATTTTCAAAGTAAATTAATTCGGTTTCCACAATGGTAAATTTTGATTTAAATATATTTTCTAGAGTGGACAAACCATACATACTTATGTAAAAGATATAAAACCACTAGTGAAAATACTGTATTAATTTTTTAAAATATATAAAATTAAAAACAATACGTGAGTGAGCAATTCCACTAACTGTCAATCTCGAGAACTTGAATTGCGTTTTGACAGTCTTAACTATATATAGAGAAACACATATTGCGTGAGTATTAGTTGTATTTTAACTGATAAACGATTGAATGAAATATTAAATTGATTCCTTTAATAATAATCAATTAACTTAAAACAGATTCACGTATAAGTCATGTTTAAAAGGGAATAATACAAAATAATTTACATTTCTTTTCAGATCTTGAGGTCCACAGTTCCCACCTTCGTACAACACCCAAGTGGTTCCTTAGAGAGAGAGGGCGTGAGAGAGATTTATAAGCCTCCCTTTGGGCATATCATTTTTTTTTGTGAACATAGAAACACTCACAACTTAACAAAAAACAAAAGATGGGAGAGGTTCAAGAAAATCCCAAACTCTTATATCATCTTTTCAAAACTCAATGAATAATAACAATATTAATTTTATTTTAATTAAGACTAATTTTTTGTTGTGTTCCAGGAGGAGAAGAAACCAGAAGCAGCAGAGGAGAAGAAAATGGAGGAAAAGAAACCAGAAGAGGAGAAAAAGGAAGGAGAAGAAAAGAAAGTGGAGAGTGATGAGAAAAAAGGAGAAGAATCTGAGAAGAAAACTCAAGAAGGAGAACCTACTAAAGATTCCAAAGATGAGTCTCCACCGGCAGCGCCGGAGGCTCCAGCACCACCTCCTCCACCTCAAGAGATCGTCCTTAAGGTTTACATGCACTGTGAAGGCTGTGCTAGAAAAGTCCGCCGTTGCCTCAAAGGCTTTGAAGGTATGTATAAAAATGTGCTTATTTATTTATATGATTTTTGCATTTCATCTACATGTAAATCTTTTTTTTGAAAATATATTTATATTTTAGTTTTTCATGGGATAGTTTCAGAATATCCAAAGGTTTTCCGCTTGCTTTTACAACGAACTATTATTATTTTGTTTAAGATGATTAATGTTCTGATTCATTTAAAAATACCAACACATACATTCGAAGAATCTATTGTGGTTTTTTTTTCTTTTTTTTGTATCCAACAAATTACACACTCAGTGAAAGCATCGAATAAGTAAATTACTGTAATTATATCCTGTTTCTGTCAACTACAGTTTTTGGTTGATTTCGTGTGTGTATAAGTATAGTTAGTAATCGTTACATATATTGTGTGTAGGACCACTTAAAGCTTGGGTTATGCTTTTGATTATTAATATTATAAATGAAGTAGAAAAATCAAACTAGGAATTCTGTTTTTGGTAAACATGGTAATATTTTGATATATAGATAAATATGAAGATTTTTGGTTTGATTTATTTAGGAGTGGAAGATGTGATGACTGATTGTAAATCGGGGAAAGTGGTGGTCAAGGGAGAGAAAGCTGATCCATTGAAAGTATTAGCCAGAGTTCAAAGGAAGACCCACCGTCAAGTTGTGCTTATTTCTCCGATTCCTCCGCCGTCTCCGCCACCGGAAAAGAAAGCAGAAGAGGAAAAACCCAAAGTGGAAGAGAAGAAAGTAGAGGTAACTTTCTTCATTGTATCTGTTGTTTGGTAAATTTCATATTACATACAAAAAGAAAAATAAAAGAAATGACTATTCATTTGTTTTTTTTTTTGTATTACTATTTTATTTAGGGTAAATACTCATTAGTTTATAATTCAGTTAAAAAGGGAATATTCTCTTTGCAGTGATTTCACATGGGAGTATTGGTATATTTTTATTACATTTGATGGCTTAATGTTATAAACTATATTCTATTGCATCATATTAAGGAAAAAAAAACTATATTCTGTCGTATATGGAATTTGAGTTTCCTACAATTATTTCATTTGATGGCTTCATGTTTTTTTTTTTTTTTTTTTTCGAAACTGTGATGGCTTCATGTTATAAACTATATTCTAATGTTATAGGAATTTGAGTGAATTAGTCGTTTTATTTAAACTTTGCGGTGAACATTTTGTATCAGCCTCCCGTTGTGGTTACGGTGGTCCTTAAGGTTTTTATGCACTGCGAAGCTTGTGCGACGGAGATCAAGAAACGAATCATGAGAATGAAAGGTTAGTGTGTAATTCTTTAACTATTTTGTATATACACTATCCAATCAAAAGATCATATTGCTTCCACTTTATAACACATACACACGTGCTAATTTATTTATTCAAAATCGTCTCTTATTTGTTGAAAGCATGTGTAACGTATCATATTCGTATGTAGTGGGGTCAAAATGTGTTTTACTTCGATATTTGCTATTTGTTTTTCTCATTCATTATTGTTTGAACAAAATAATTTTAGGAGTGGAATCTGCTGAATCGGATTTAAAGGGTTCTCAAGTGACAGTGAAAGGAGTGTTTGAACCGCAAAAGCTAGTAGACTACGTTTATAAACGGACAGGGAAACATGCTGCGGTTATGAAAGTTGACCCACCACCTCCCCCACCACCCGAGGAAGCGGCTCCGGCGGCGGCTGCGGCGGAAGGAGAGAAGAAAGAAGAAGGTAAAGGAGAAGAAAAAGGTGGAGGAGGAGAATCCAAAAGCGAGGAAGGGAAAGAGGAAAAGCCAAAGAAGGATGAAGAAAAGAAAGAAGTGGAGGCTGGTAAAGGCGACGGCGAAGCAGCTGAAAAAGGCGGAGGAGGAGGTGGTGAAAGCGGTGGTGGTGGTGGTGGGGAGGAAGAGGCAAAAGTTGTGGAGGTGAAGAAGATAGAGAATCCTTATTACTACTATTATTATCAACCGCCGCGTGTGGCTGTTCCTCCTATGGAAATGCCGCCTCATGCATATCCGCATGCTTACCCGCCTCAGCTATTCAGCGACGAGAATCCAAACGCATGTTCCATAATGTAACAAAGAAAACCGCAAACGCTAAAATGGTTTATATGGGGAATATTTGAACATTTTTGATTAAGTGGATACATGTTGGATCTCTCTTGGTTTTCTTTTTACTGTGGTTGTGGGCCTTGTGGCTATATATATATATATAATCAATAAAATAAATAGATTACAGTATAAAATCAATAAAATAAATAGATTACAGTAGTTTATACTATACATTTGTTTTAATTTATGGTACATATAATTAAACTTTAAACTTTTGAGCTGCACCAATTTGATGCTATCATCCCACGCATTTTCAATATATATACCATTTTGTACATATTTAGATATGGTTAGCTAGACTCCTAGTTTACTAAGTTACCATGTAACAGTACAACTGTAGTTTGCACCACCTACACGGTAGTTTGTTTTTTTTACCCAAAATAATCAATTGCAATATTTCACCACAATCACTAGACTAGTTGGAAACAGTAGAGTTCATATCTATAGTCCCATTGTCTATAGATGTATTAAATAACCTTAATAGTATTACCTAGTATAAACCCAGTTTTACACTTCCCCCCATAATAAGAAAAAAGTCGTTCAGAGTTTATGAATGAATTATTAATAGTTAGGTGAAACACTATTTTCTTGCCTCTACCAAAATAGGTTGTTCCATTTATTGTACGATAAAGTTAATGAAAATACTGCCTTATCTTAGACTTGCCATGGTGTTTTGTCAATTGTGTTATGATTTTTTTTTTGCTAAAAGTTGATGATTATTCTTCTTAAATACATTTATGGGCATCATGAGTTGTTAGAAATCAATGGTGGCACGTAATATCAATCAATCATATAAATAGTTAGCTAAGAATCCTATGTTTTGTTTTTTTCTTTCATTTTGGGATTACATAACTACTAATCCAAAAATGGTTTTCCCCCTAATACACCTTCTAATTTGTAATTTTGTTTCTTAATGCAGATTTTGATTTTGTCTTTTTTTGACGATGTGAACAAGCCAGCAGTTTAGTTTTGTTTGAATTGCTACAAAAAAAAGAAGTTTTGTTTGAATATGGCAGTTTAATTTTATTTGAATATGGACAACACAAAAACTTTGAGAGCATATAAAAACTAATTTTAAATCCAAATAATGAGATTGTGTTTTTTGATTGATCCACTAAGCCAGCAATTTAGTTTTATTATTTTATTTACTTATGTTAAATTTTGAACCGGTCTAAATTAAAACCAAGAAAATTTATTAATTTATCGAATATTAATTTATAGAAGTTCTACAATATCTATTAATTCATAAATTTTATATTTAACTAAAAACGTAGGAACTATCTATCTTCTTTCTTTTTTTTTTTCTTTTTTTTTGTAACACATTCTTCATTCATATTTTAAACTATATATATCTTCTTTCATTTTTAAGAAGATGCGAACTCTAGAGCTTGAATTAGCCGCGCGTAAGTGACATGCTAATAGGTCGTGACGCCTTCGCATCGTAAGCAAAAGAACATTCTATTCCAGCGAAGTAAACTCGCCGCTGCAGCGCGTCAAAACAGCGAGCCGTGATGCGACTGTGTTAATACGTAGACCCCACGTGATGGGTCCGTGCCAACTCTGCAAAACGTACAGTTTATGAATGAATGAATGAGCCCACGTGACCCGCCACCACTTCCTCTAAACCTGTGCTTTCGTACTCTCAACTTTTGTCGCTTTCTTTTATTGGACTCACCGTTTTTTTTTCTCATTTGATATAAACTCGAAACAAACAAAACTCAAAAGAGAAAAGAATAGTACCACTAGAGAGAGTAGATTACTCGGCCTTTTTCGTTACTCAGTTTTTTTTTCTATATAAGAATTAAGTCCATTTTATATTGTTTTATTTTGCCGTTGAGTAAATGATATACTGTTGTGATAGAATAACCGTATGTTTATATACTACAAGATCGCGGTAGGAGGTTATTATCCAATGATGACAAAAGGTTATTATATCCAATGTCGGTAGCTCAATTTTTTTTTTTTTTTTAGAAAATATATGCTATTGGTCGGTGTAAGGACTGTAGACGTCAAAACCAAAACGTTTAAACTGATTTAATAAGTCGAATTAGTGGTTTTTAAAGAAAAGTACTGGAAATTTGTTTACTCGTTTTTCTTTCGCTAATGAACATAATGGTAAAATTTAAAATTTAGTTGTATGCTCTTATTTTTTTAACTTGTGTGCTCTTATATTTTCAGGGACTATTTTATGTTTATCTTTTGCCTTTATAGTGAAACCACCTTATGTTTAGATTGATCTACAATTTACTTACAATATTGCTAACGTTTTACCTTTCTAATAAAAAATAAGAGAATTTGCTGGTTCTGTTACAAAAAAGAGCATTTGCTGGTTTCTTTTAGAAAAGAGAGAGAAAAAGGGTAAATGGCTGGATGGGTTATAGCATTTATTAAATTTGTTGGTCTTATTCTTCTTTCTGTTAGCCTTTGGGACCATACCTTCGAGGCTTCAACTATGTCAAAATCGTGTCGACATGTAGAAACACGTATAGTTTATACGTTACAAGTTCAAGTTACGTGTTTGCATGTACCCTTAACGCTAATATATATATATAATGTGTGTGTGTCGTATACGTAGAGAACTATAATTCAACGAAAACGTAGAGTATCAAGAACTTCATGTAATACGTAACTATACACAACCTACGAGATTGTAGAATTATCATTAAAAATATGTAGCAACTATAACCGTCAACCTAGCATGGCCAGGCATACTTTGGTTGGTTTATTTAATTTGTTAAAGTATCTCCTCTGTTTTTGTATTCCAAAAAACCATTATTTTTTCTCTTATCTTTCTACATAATAAAACCGTTAAATATTTGTGATTTCCAATCCAAATACATGAACAGAAAAATTCACAAAACTTTCAGTTTTAGAGAAAAAGAACAAAAATAACAACATTGTTACCATATACAGACACTTGACCGGATTTCAATATGTTAGTTTAGGTTTGATTGCGACCGAACCGAGTCAGTCTCGACCATTTAGCCCAATTTCTAATAAGTGTTGGGACCATCAACATCTTTTGCATCTAGTTTACCTAAATTCCATATAACTCTTAAAACTAGTTACTAGAGAAATAAGGAAACGATTGGCCGAGGACGGAGGAGAGAAATATTTATTAATAGATTAGGGTTTGGCTGTTCCGAACACGTTAGAACATTTTCAATCCTATTTGATAATTTACTGCAAAATAGAATGAAATTTGAGATGCTCTTAGTCTCATGCAATAATTTGTATAATACATTTTGTTGACGTAATATAAATTTCTATTTCTCTATAAAAATATAATTTGTATTTTCCATTTGCATATCACTTTTACGTTAACAAACTACAGATAAATTTTTGATTAATGCGTAATTTAGTTTTGTAAGAACCGTATTATGGTAACATGCAAAAGTAAACATAGAGAAAAAGAAAATGAGTTATAGGCGTTGAACACATCCAGAAAAGGATGTAGGCCCATGATAAAAAAATAATAGAAGATGATGTAACTACAGTTGTTTTGTTAAAGTCCACTCAGTTAACGAGTTCTATATGCGAAACACATTAAATAGAATCGTAGCCTTGTAGGTCTGTGACAGAAGAAAACAAAGCAGACAAGTTTTATCTGCCGGAAACGATAGAATGATTTTGATTTTTATCAAGAACTTTGTTGAGATGTAGACTTTGAGCCAATGTGTTTAAAAAAAAAAGTAGACATGAGCCAAATCTATTGAACAATCATTCAGAGAGAAAAATTCAAGAAGATAAAAGGTCTTTTAAATCCCATCACTTAGTGGGAAGGTAAAGGCAAAGAAGCTGAGATGGATGGTTGAAGATGACCTATTAGTTTGTGTGGTAGTGTAGCATTATACCTAGAGCCTAGAGGGCTAGTTTTGTTTACTTGTTTTTGAGTCATTTCAAACCATATGTCTAATGGGCTTAATGGTCCATATTCAATCGCTTTATGGCGATGTAACTTGACTTTTGAAACAAAAAAATCAAAAAACTAATCTTCAAAGATTTGAAATCAAATGTTAGGAATTTGCTGTGTTATATAGGGAACCTACCAAAAAGCTTTACACTGTGCTTCTATCTAAAAAGACAACAAGAGAAAAATTACCGGTAAAAAGAAGAAAATACTCAACAGTCAACTCTTGTTTTCTTACCCATAATGTGTGAACACTCTGTTACACATGAGTCCATTAAAATCAACAGCAAAAAGATGAATAGAACCAGAGATATGTGGGACCAAAAGAGTAAAACAGAAAAACTTTTGCAAATTTATTATTTATTTATATGGGTCAAAACTTAACCTTAATATAGAGATGAAATTAAAATGTTAAATTAGGATCTCTCTTTGGAGAACAGTATCAGGAAATTACATTATTCATTTAGAAAATGTCTTTTTTTTTACATATGAAAAAAAATTAAGATGGACCTCTTAAACAAATAGCATAGTACGAAAGCCTTTTCAAGACTAGTAATTAACTTGGTTTACCACTTACCAAGCTAGAGTTATTCTGGTTGCCTAACGAAGAAACCGGCCCACTTCTCGAAATGAAAGTCCAATAAGAAGGGTAAAATACAAGCCCATTGGGCCGAGTTATTTTTGGCGCGAGATGTTTCTCGTTGACGAGAGAAGCCCGCAATTATTGGCGCCAGATATTTAAAAAAACCCCCAAATCTAGTAGTTTTCCTGATTTAGGGTTTTGGAGTTTATCACCAAAACCTCTGAAAGATCTGGGCTTTTCTGTTTCTGGACTCACATGGCGACTGAAACCCTAGAAAACGGAGTTGAACACCCGGCAAAGGAGGAAACTAGGGTTGGTGATGCTGAGAAAGAAGATGAATCAAAAGACGAAAGTGAAGAGGAGAAGGAGGAAGAAGGAAGTAAGAAGTCTTTGGAGACTCTGAGTAGTAGTAATAGGCCAATGAGAGAGAGAAAGAAAGTTGAGCTTTACTCTCTCTCCACTCCTCTGCAACCTACACCAACCAAGTCCCTTTCCATTGAAAAGGTATCTTTTTTTTTTTGTTTTTTTTTTTTGGTATTTGTGTAGATTTCTTTTGTATAAAATCAGATCTTCACTACTTCTATGTGTTCTTCTTCAGGGTCGTGGAACACTGCTCAAGGAAATTCCAAATGGTAAGTATATACTTGTGTGTTCTCTTCACTGCATTCTTGTGGTTTTGCTCATCTAAACAATGAAACAATCTTTAAATAATAGTTAGTACCATTTTATTAGGACAGGTCTGAAACAAATGAGACAACTTAAAAAAAAAAAAAATGGTAAACCGTTCCCCGGAGAGAGAATGTGAAAGCCCTGGTGGCCACGCGTTGTGGAAATCTGGTGTGGTGCGGATTCGAACTCGGGTCCCTTTAGACAAGTTAAACAAGCTTGAGTTTTGGTTTTAATACTCATAGTCTGACTTTCTGGTGGAATTCTTTTTGATCTTGTAGTTATTACAATTATCCCATACTAAAACTACTGTCTGTGATTTAGTTTTTAACGTTAGTAGATTTCAGTTCAGTTTTTTTTTTTTTTTGGTTGCAAACTGTGTTGTGGATATAAACTTTGCACTGTATGCTGGAAAGTTTAGTTCTTTTGACAGAGTCTTGTTGTTTAATTTTATTTACAAATGAGTATATGTCTGATAATGTTGGCTGTTTCAGTGGCTTATCAACTATCCAAGAGAAAAGCTGATAGCGACCTCATCTTACTACACACCGTTCTGTATGGGAAGAAAGCAAAGGTGCTTTTGTCTGATTACATTTTGCCACACTTGATATGAATATCTCCCTTTTAACCTTACCTAACTTAAAGAGTTTTGTGAAAATTGCTCTGCAGGCACAGATGGTTAAGAAAAATATTGGTCTGTTTTCTGGCTTTGTATGGTCAGAGAATGAGGTAAAAGTTTCTATTTTGTTTTAGGGATGTGTATTATGTTTTGTCTCAAGTTGAGACTTTAAATGTTGTTTTTTTTTCAGGAGGAGAAGCTAAGAGCACGAGTGAAGGAGAAACTTGACAAATGCGTAAAAGACAAGTTAATATTTTTCTGTGATGTGCTTGATATACCTATAAGCAAAAGCAACATTAAAAAAGTAAGTAATAAGAAGATGTGAGCTATCTATTTATTCTACCTTATTCTATATTCTAACTTGTAAGATGCTCTCAGGAAGAAGTAGCTGTTAAAGTGCTTGAGTTTTTGGAATCTCCCAAGGCATTAAGAGATGTTTTACTTGCTGATCGAGAAAAGGTACTACTTTTTGATTCAGTAAATCATTGTTGTACATGTTCATCGCCTGTATAAGAGTGTTGAATTCTGTTTATTCTTTTGGAATTATACATTTTTAGCAAGCCAAGAAGCGCAAGAGCACACAGAGAAAGAGGAAATCTGCAGAATCTTCAGATACGCCAGCCAAGGTTTGTAGTTTCTTATCTCTAAATTTTTACAGTTTCTACCCCTTGCATGCTACTGGCTGGTAATTGTTACCATTAGCTCATTTGCTAGCTTTGGTTTTATGTGAATTGTGTTGCTAAATGCATATGCTGTATGTTCTTGTTACCATACAGAGGAAAAGACAAACTAAAAAGCGTGAGCATCCATCTGACACAGAAGAAGGCAAGGGTGAGGGTGATTCTGATTCGGAAGGCACTAAGGATACTCATGATCAAGATGATGCAGCACCAGAAGAAGATAGTGACCATGTAAAAACTGAAACTGAAGATGAGAAAGACGAAGCAGAATATGAGAAGCCATCTGATAAGAAAATCTCATCGAAAAAGACTAAAGAGGAGAGCTCATCAGGCACCAAAGACAAAGATAAACAAGCGTCTGCTAACGGTTCTAAGAAATCTAGTGAAAATTCCTCCAAAAGAGTTGATAAGTCAACTTCATCCCCAGCCAAGAAGCAAAAAGTTGATAATGAAAAGTCTTCTAAAGGGAAAAGCAAGAAACAGTCAGTTAAAACACAGGCTAATGGATCCAAAGAGAAAGGTTACAAACGTTTCCAACTGCTTCTAAAACTTCTTAAGACTTAGTTAGACTTGTGATTATTTATTGGATACTATCATGGATTGGATGCAGGAAAAGCTACTAAGAAAGGCAAAGTAGAGCCAACCAGAGAAGCAATGCTTGAATTTGTGTCCAAAATTCTGAAGGAAGTAGACTTCAACACGGTGAGCTAGTTTCAACTTGCTTACACTGACTGAAATTTTAATGGTCTGAAGACGTTCTTATACTCGTTTTTTTGTTCTTGATAACAGGCGACATTATCAACTATTCTGCAGAAGCTAAGTACGTCCTTTGATTTTGCTTATATGTTTTGCAACCTACGTTTAATAATACTTTCCAAATGTTGACGAGCTTTTTGGTTACATTTGCTGTTTGTGATAACATCAGGTGACCATTTTGGTGTTGATCTCTCGCATAGAAAACCAGAGGTGAAGGAGGTTATTCAAGATGCAATAAATGAAATGACTGATGATGAAGAAGAAGACGAAGAAGAAAAATCTGAGGCTGGAAGCGACAAAGAGAATGAAGAAGAGGAAAAAGCTGAGGCTGAAAGTAACAAAGGGATAGAAGAAGAAGAAGAAGAGGAGAAGCTAAAGGATAAAGCTTAGCGAGTTTCTTCTCTCAAAAGATCTGATGTGAAGAGAAGCAAAACTGATCAACATTGTGCACTTGATAGTTAGAGAGTGCTGAATCTTTACTTTGTACTACTATGTAATCTCTATAGTTTCATCGTGTAGTGTCAGTGACTTCTTCTTGTGTAGCTGTTAGGTTTTCTAATCCTTGTTTTATTTGCTACCCTTGATAGGAAATTTCCTCTCTCATCTTAATCTATATAGCAGTCTCAATTAAATTACTAACTAGAATATTAGAAATAGCTTAAACTTCATTAAATATTATTTATTGGAAAACTCGATCTTTTTGTAAATGTTAGCACACATATTTCAAGATAAATTATAAAATACGGTAGATGCATCAAACACAAACATATGATAAAGATAAATGATCTATGACACTTTTGTTGTCTCTTCACTAGAATATATAGATTTCATAGAGTTTAGTTTTCTGATTTATGTGGTATAAGAAATTTTATAACATTTAGAATACATTAACATAAATTTTTAATATGGTTAAATATTTTAAACAGCACTAAAGAAGCTAAACTTAAGTACAAATAACATTTATTGGAAAACATCGATCTTTTCGTAGGGGTTAACCCACATATTTCAAGATATATTAAAATTTTTAATTTTTTGTACTATATGTATAGATGCATCCAACACTGATATATGATATATATCAAATAGTTTTGATACCTTAGTTGTCCAAGTTTATTTACAAAATAGAGATTTCATAGGGTTTAGTTCATTGATTTTGGTGGTATATGAAGTTTTATTAATTTTTTTGGTTAAAAATTAGAATTGATGCCCATGTACCATGAACATAAGTTTAGTACACTAATATAAATTTTGAATGTGGTTAGGTATTTTTAAACAAAACTAAAAAGACTAAACTTTAGTATATATAACATTTATTGGAAAATTCGATCTTTTTGTAGGTATTAACCCATATATTTCAAGATAAATTAGAAAATATGTTATTTTATTTTAATGCATAGCTCCATCATGCAGTGACATAGTATGTAGATTAGAAAAAAGTTTGATACTTTAGGTGTTCCCGTTTCTCCTGACAAGAAATAGTTTTATAGGGGTTAGTCCACATAATTAGGTAGAATATGAAATTTTATTAAATTACTCATTATAATATTAGAAAGTTGCCCATGAAAATAAGTTTAACATACATTAATAAAAAAAAGTGATTAGGTATTTTTAATCAACAAGAAATAGCTAAAACTTCGGTGTATAACATTTATCGGAAAACTCGATCTTTTTGTAAGAGTTAACTCACAAATTTCAAGACAATTTAGAAAATATGGTATTTTTAAATGCGTAGATGAATTCAGCACATATATAGGATGAATATCAAAGATTTCTGACACCTTTTTTTTTGTCTCAATTTCTCTAGAATATATATATTTCATTGGGTTTAGCTCCTTAATTTACGTGGTATATAGGGTTTTATTGAATTACTCGTTAGAAAATTACAACTGATGCCCATCTACCATGAAAATAAATTTAGGATTAATTAATATTAATTTTTAATGTGGTTAGATATTTTAAACAACACTAAAGAGGCTAAACTTAGGCTAAACTAAAGTACAAATAACATTTATCGGAAAACTCGATCTTTTTGTAGGAAATACCCACATATTTCAAGATAAATTTGAAAAATAATGATATATATGCATAGTTGCATCCAACACTGATCTATGATGAATATCAAAGAGTTTTGATACCTTAGTTGTCATAAGTTCTCTAGAAAATAGAGTTTTCATAGGGTTTAATTCATTGATTTTTGTGGTATATGAATTTTATTAAATTCTTCGATTAAAAATTAGAACTGATGCCCATGTAACATGAACATAGTTTAGTACATTAATATACATCTTGAATGTGGTTCGGTATTTTTAAACAAAACTAAAGAGACCCACATATTTCAAGATAAATTAGAAAATATGGTATTTTTGTTTTAATGAATGCTGCATCATGCACTGACATAGTATGCAAAATAAAGAGGTTTGAGATTAGTTTCTCCCTTTTCTACAGAAAATGAAGTTTTTATAGAGGTTAGTCCACTTATTAGGCGGTATATGAAGTTTAAATAAATTATTCATTGGAAAATTAGAAATGATATCCATGTACCATGAAAATAAATTTAGTATACATATATTTAACATTTGGAGTGTGGTTAGGTATTTTAAACAACACTAAAGAGGCTAAATAGTATAGATACTATTTATCAAAAAATCAATCTTTTTGTAGGGGTTAATCCACATATTTCAAGATAAATTAGAAACTATGGAATTTTTGTTTCAGTTCATAGATGCATCATTCACTGGCATAGTATGAAGATTAAAGATTTTTGATACCTTAGGTGTTCCCATTTCTCTAGAAAATTGAGATTATATAGGGGTTAGTACACTAATTAGATTATATATGAAGTGTAAACATAATATTCATCGGAAAACTAGAAATAATGCACATGGACCATGAAAATATGTTTAGCATACATTAGTATGCATTAGAGTGTGGTTAGGTATATAATAAAAATCTTAATGAGGCTAAAATTTAGTATATATAACATTTATTGGAAAAAAACTTGATCTATTTGTAAGAAAAATTTTAAAATATGATATTTTGTTTTAATGCATAACTTCATCATGCAATGTCATGTGATGAAAATTAAAGAGGTCTGAAACCTTATTTGTCCCCGTTTCTTCAGAAATTACAGATTTTATAAGGGTTAGTTCACTTAATTAGGTGGAATAAAAAGTTCTATTAAATTACTCATTGAAGTATTAGAAGTGATGCCCATGTACCATAAATATAAGTTTAACATATATTAATATAAATATGTAATGTGATTAGGTATTGTTTTGTGATCATGTAAGAGCTTAAACGTCAGTAAATATCATTTATCAGAAAACTCGATTATAAGGGTTAATCCACATATTTCAAGATAAATTATATAATACGGTACTTTTATTTTAATGTATGGATTCATCCAACACTGATATATGATAAATATTAAGGATGTATGAAACATTTGTTGTCTCAATTTCTGTAGAATATAGAGATTTCATAGGGTTTAGTTCTTTGGTTTCCGTGGTATATGCAGTTTTATTAAATTATCGTTGGAAAGTTATAACTAATACCCATGTACACTGAAAATAAATTTATGATAAACTAAAATATTTTTTTAATTTGGTTAAATATATTAAACAACACTAAAGAGGCTACACTTAAGTACAAATAGCATTTGTTGGAAAACCTTGATATTTTTGTAGGGGTTAACCCACATATTTCAAGAAAATGAAAATATGGAATTTTTGTATTTATGTATAGTTGCATCCAGCACTGATATATGATGAATATCAAATAGTTTTGATACTTTAGTTGTCCAAGTTTTTCTAGAAAATAGAGATTTCATAGGGTTTAGTTCATTGATTTTGGTGGTATGTGAAGTTTGATTAAATTCCTCGGTTAAAAAATATAATTGATTCCCATGTAACATGAACATAATTTTAGTACATTAATATAAATTTTGAATATTTTTAGGTATTTTTAAACAAAACCAAAGAGGCTAAACTTTAGTATATATAACATTTATCGAAAACTCGATCTCTTTGTAGGTATTAATCCACATATTTCAAGATAAATTAGAAAATATGCTATTTTGTTTTAATGCATAGCTCCATCATGCAGTGACATAGTATGTAGATTAAAAATGTTTTATACCTTAGGTGTTCCCATTTCTTCTGACAAGAAGAGTGTTTATAAGAGTTAGTCCACATAATTAGCCGAAATATGAAATTTTACTAAATTACTCATGAACATATTAGAAAAAATGCAAATGAAAATAAGTTTAACATACATTAATAAAAATTATAATGTGATTAGGTATTTTTAATCAACATGAAATAGCTTAAACTTTAGTGTATAGTATTTATCGGAAAACTCGATCTTTTTGTAAGGGTTACCCCACAAATTTCAAGATAAATTTGAAAATACGGTATCTTTCTTTTAATGCATATATGGATTCATCACATATATAGGATGAAGATAAAGGATTTATTACACCTTTTTTTCTCTCAATCTCTCTAGAATATAGAATTTTCATAGGGTTTAATTCCTTCATTTATGTGGTATATAAAGTTTTATTAAAGTACTCGTTGGAAAATTATAATTTATGCCCATGTACCATGAAAATAAATTTAGGATACATTATTATAAATTTTTTATGTGGTTAGATATTTTAAACAACATTAAAGACCCTAAACTTAGGTACAAATAGCATTTATCGAATAACTTGATATTTTCGTAAGTATTAACCCACATATTTTAAGATAAATTAGAAAAGTATGAAATTTTATATTGATGCATATCTACATCCAACACTGATATAAGATGAATATAAACGAGTTTTTTTTATACCTTAGTTGTCCAAAGTTCTACAGAAAATAGAGATTTTATATGGTTTAATTCATTGATTTTTGTGGTACTTGAATTTAATTAAATTCTTCGGTTAAAAATTAGAAAGGATGCCCATGTACCATGAACATAAGTTTAGTACATTAATATACATTTTTAATGTGGTTAGGTATTTTTAAACAAAACTACACCTATATATAACATTTATCGGAAAACTCGATCTTTTCGTATGTAGTAACATTTCAAGATAAATTAGAAAATATGGTATTTTATTTTAATGCATAGATCCATCATGCAGTGAATTTTTATAGAGATTAAAGATGTTTGATACCTTAGGTGTTTTGTTCCCGTTTTTCCTGGCAAGAAGAGTCTTTATAGGAGTGTTAGTTCACATAATTAGCTGGAATATGAAATTTCATTAAATTAATCATTAACATATTAGAAATGATGCCCATGAAAATAAGTTTAACATACATTAATAAAAATTATAATGTGATTAGATATTCTTTAATCAACATGAAATAGCTAAAATTTAAGTGTAAAGCATTTGTCGGAAAACTCGATATTTTGTAGGAGATAATCCAAAAATTTCAAGATAAATTAAAAATACAGTATTTTTATTTTAATGCCTTGATGCATTCAGCACATATATATGATGAAGATAAATGATTTCTTAAACCTTTTTCTCTCAATCTCTCTAGAATATAGAAATTTCATAGGGTTTAATTCCTTCATTTATGTGGTATATATAGTTTTATTAAACTAC